AACGAACGAGATTTTAAATCGAGAAATTTTTTTTAATAATGAACCAAATTATCAAGAAAGAATAAGTATGATTCACAATTCATAACTAATAAAAATATCATTTTCACATAATTAAATTAATTTACTATTAAATAACCAATATAATAACACATCTATCACACTTTCAAATACATTTTTTCCCTCCCACTTTTCTCTTTACTTTTCTTCATAAAACAACTTTTTCCCTCTCTTCCAAATCTTCCTTCCTCTCCTTCCTCTCCTTCAAACTTTCCTTTCCCTCTATTTTCTTTCTTTCTTTTCCAAATCTTCCTTCCTCTCCTTCCTCTCCTTCAAACTTTCCTTTCCCTCTATTTTCTTTCTTTCTTTCTTTCGCAGAGTGTTAGTAATATAAGACAATCCACAATGTGAGTGGGAGGGAAAAGTGGGAAAATAGGAAAAATGGGGAAAAAAGATGTTTTGGTCACAATGTGGAGGGTGGGAAAAGTGGGTAATTGGTTTAACACTTTGTTGTTAATATCAATCTACAGTTGATTTCCTCACTTTATTTTTATATAATGATCGTTATTTTTACGTAGTTAGTGATAATTAATTAATACGAACATTTTGATATAATTTTTTTTAATTTGGACATAATTTTTTTCATCACTAATTAAATATAACGTCATTAATTTTGTCTGTTGCTGATAAAACCAATCAAAATACCTCATATTAAAAGAAAACCATTAAAACAAATAAATTAGAAAAAAATAATAAAATAAATTATATGCAGGCCCGGCAGTGGGCCCCTCCTCCTTCCCTTGCATCCACCATTTGTTTTCTAGTGGGTGGGGTATTGCCACCCAATTTTCCCCCTTTCTCCATCTCTTCCACTTTTCCCACTCACATTGTGGGTTATTTTCCCACTTTCTCCTCTAAACTCACCTACATTGTGGAGAGTCTAAAGAGCACATGCTTACATAGCATACATTGATTGTAAACTCTTGAGAGTCCTTCTAAGACTTCGTTCATGCCTTTGTGAACCAAGTGTACACTCATCCAAAATTTTAAACAAATTTCAATGTTAAGCACAAAGCTTAATTTTTTATCCGAATGAAAAAAGAACTTAAGTTGTGGTTCATAAAGAAGTTCGATAAAAGTCAAATATGGAGAAGTACTAGGAGGTTGATATAGTCGTGACAAGTTAATATAGAACTTTTTGACATGTATGTGAATTTTGCTGATTTTAATTTCGGTATAATGTATGTTAATATGGAAAGAATTAATAAAAATTAGCAACAAAGTCAACATCCGAGTCAGATGTAAGAGGAAAACAAGCAAGGGCGGCAAGAAAAAGCGGATAGAGTTGGCAGGGCAGCGGAGCGAAGGATAGACGTTTCAACCGTGACTTCTCTGATCTCATCGTTAGCTCACCATTTCCCCGAACAAAAACCGATTATTACCAACTGCTCCTCTCAATTTCTGGTCTCCGACTGAGCAGAACACAGAGCAATATCATGGACGATCACATTGGAGACGGAGAGACGCCGGCGGCTTTACATAATCCTCGTCGCGCGGGAGAAGAAGTAGGAGCGGAAACAGTACCCAGAGCTCACTCTCCTCCTCACCAAAACGGCGGAAGCCGATCGAGCGGCGTCGTTCTCGGAGTTGACGGCGGCACTACCTCAACGGTCTGCGTCTGTATGCCGTTCCTCGACTTCGGTGACGAGCTACCTGATCCCGCTCCCGTTCTCGGACGCGCCGCTGCCGGCTGCTCCAACCACAACAGCGTCGGAGGTGCGTCGTTGATCGCTAATTCGCCCCGTTGTTCCTTTCTTAGCTCTTGAATCACTGAGTAGTTTTTCGGATACAAGATCGAATTGGTTTCTTGAATGTGGAATTAGAAGCTCTACCAGTTCCTTTAGGTTTTCGGTTACTGAAGGTCGAGTGGTTCTTGACTGGATAACTTGCTGCTTAGTTGTATGGATCTTGTTTCTTGGTTCTGGATAGCTGACTGATGTATTTAGTCCGAGTGGAATGCTGGAATTATCAGATAATCTGTTAACTGATTGTGAAATTGTGATATTCACCAGAAACTGCTGCGAGGGAAACATTAGAACGCGTCATGGCGGAAGCCCTCGAGAAATCAGGCTCCAATCGGTCTGCAGTGCGAGCTGTGTGCTTAGGTGTGTCTGGTGTGAATCATCCGTCTGATCAAGAGAGGGTACTGAATTGGCTAAGGTGTGCTTTCTGGCAATGATAAGTTCCCATTCTGTTTTTGCTCAAATGATATGCAATTGTGAAACCATTTTGTTCTCTATTTTTTATTCTATGTTCGTCATTGATCTTGAAACAGCTTTCTCGGTCATGAGGTGCAGTTTGTATTGCATTCCTAGAAAGCTTGCATGTGTTGCAATTTTGCAATGGTTTGTGAACAGTAATAAGCTGGTGTCTCTTTGTTGGCATTGCTCCAGTTTGTTACGCTATTCCTGGACATCTTGTGCTGAATAAGTTGCTTCCATTTCCCAGGGATATGTTTCCTATCAATGTGAAGTTGTACGTGCGTAATGATGCTATCGCTGCTTTGGCTAGTGGGACCATGGGAAGGCTCCATGGGTGTGTGTTAATTGCTGGTACAGGCTGCATCTCTTATGGTATTGCTGATGATGGTAAAGAAGCTCGGTCTTCAGGTGCAGGGCCTGTCTTAGGTGACTGGGGGAGGTATGTGGTCTTTGTCATCTGATTGATTTATTAATTCAGAAGAAGTTAACTTTAGTAGGATGCCACACCAACTTGTCTTCCTTCATGTTGTGCTCTGGGAATCAGTTTTTCTTTCCAGAGCTGATTTTCTATAGTATCACGAAATTCTGCAGAATATATGATGGTATCTTCACAATTCTGAAACAAAACAGAGTTAAATTGATTCTGGTGAATTATGATGAGCTTGCTTATCTGACTCCTAATAGTTAGGAAATCTTGTGAATTGCGATTGCAAATTTTGCTTTTGGATATGCTGTGCTACCCTCATTTCAGGACTCCCTGACTGTTGTATATGTCTTGTACATCATATTTGCTTGTCACAACTTACAAGAACCTAACTACGACATTGCTAAGGTGGAGTTGCCTTACTGTGAAACAACCAATGATACGTGACATTTTGCAGTGGCTATGGAATTGCAGCACGTGCATTAACAGCAGTGATAAGGGCTCATGACGGACGTGGCCCACCAACGAAACTTACAAATAAGATGCTGAAGACACTTGGCCTTTCTACTCCTGATGAAATCATAGGGTATTACTTTCTACTCACTCTCAAGATATGATGTAAAATTTTGGAGCCCCATGAAGATAGGGGGTTTCTGTTCTGAAATAGGCATTCCCGCAATTTCTTGTTTCACTTTATAGATTGATTCAAACAAAAGGCTATATCATGTTTATTCCTTTTGCAAGTAAAGTTTCCTGAGCTCAATTTCATTGGTTTATTTTCTTATGACTCAAGCATTTCGTTTCTAGTAGGTTCTGCTGCTGGTAGCCTCTTTACGGTCTGTTGTGTAATCCTTGGAAAGAATATACGTTTTTACTCAATTCAACGATTGACCAAAGGGGGATATTAGAGAGCTTTCATAGGGTTTCTTGCTAAAGAAGCTGAACGATATTTGGATTAGGCGAACTAATTCAAGCCTATCTTCCCTCTGGAATATATTTAGGTGGACTTATGCAGATTCATCTTGGGCACGCATCGCAGCTCTTGTTCCTGAAGTGGTAGCTTGTGCAGAAGATTCAGATGAAGTTGCGGATAAGATTCTTGTCAATGCGGTACAGGAATTGGCATTAAGTGTGAAGGCGGTTGTTGAACGGCTTAATTTGTGTGGTGAAGGTATTTGATATTCTGTATATCTATCATGTCCTTCCAATAATAGAGTCTTTCAATTACTCCACAAAAGCTTACTCTAAAAGTCTAAGTGATGCATATGTTCTGTATATGGTAAAAGACAGTACAAAATCCCCTGCTTCAATATGCATTAAACCCCTTTCTACAATTGCAGATGGAAAAGGCTCTTTCCCTGTGGTAATGGTTGGTGGAGTCCTTGAAGCTAACAAGGGATGGGATATAGGAAATGAAGTTATGAAATATGTTAAGGAGAACTTCAGTGGTGCTTATGCAGTTAGGCCGAAGGTTAGTCTTCTTCAATTTGAGTTCCGAAAAATTGCACATCGACTTAATTTGCTTTCTTAACATTCATTACTTTCACTAGCTAGTCCAGTGAAACCATTGAGAATAGCATAAGTCATTGGATATGCAGTTCTTACAAGGTTGTCCGCTTAATGTAAACAAGATGCTATTATGTAATATTCTTCCAGGTGGAACCTGCAGTTGGAGCAGCTCTACTGGCTATTAACTTCATCACTAAAGATTCAATGGCGAACGATAGCTGATCGGGAGGACAGAGGCCATCATTGTTGTGAAATTTGACTGTAAAGATATACCGTCGTCCAAAATTTGCACAGAATCACTGGAAGAAAGATAGATTAGACTCTTGGGGTTTGTGTGTGGTTGGGGGGGTTCAGCGCAATTGAGACAGTTTGTGATACTCCAATGGGGTAATAGTCTCAATGACTCAACACTGACATCAAAGAAATTGTGAAGCCAAAGAAACCTTTGGCTGAAGTGTTATGATCCGATTGCCTTGCTCAAGATTGTATAACATGTCTGCATAATTCACACATTGCTCTGATCTCACGCAGTGAGAAGCGGTTTTTGTTCTCACTGCTATCTGCCATCATCGTTGGGATGGGCTGCTGCTGCTTTCCTTGACGGCTGGTAATGGCTTGAGCTTCTCGACTTCCTTTTCATGGTGCTGGCAATGGTGAATTGGTGATAGACCCTCTTGCGGACTTGCAATGGTGTTATGAGTCCATCTGCAGATAGTCGAACATAAACTATCGTGTTTTAAGCATACACCGTACAGCCCAGTTCTTCATCAGAGTTCTGAAACGTCGAGGAGCAAGTTCTTTTTGTTAAATTCAGAGAACATAATTCATTGGTTTGATTCAGTTCGAGTTGCGTAAGACCGTCAAAGTGTAAACAATGCACCGGCAGGTGTGAAATTCTCTTCTGGATTTGAGAAGGAAAAGCTGTACAGGCTGAGGCTAACACCTACAATTTGGAAGTGTGCAAAGAACTAATCCAACAGAAACCGTCTGTCATGAACTAACTTAATAACTACATATATCCCTTTCGCTGTGAGCTACCAAAATATACACAACCAAAAACCTAGCCGCAGCCACTCATAACAGCACCAACAGACAACCAACCAACCCAACTTTTGGTTTCAGAAACTAGGAGAGATCCATCATCAACTCTCGCAAAACCCCTGCAGTACACCCATGGTTTCCGAACGAAAGGCTTGGTCCAGGTACCGTTCTTCAACTCCGAACAGGCCGCATCACGAGTGTTTCGTGTGTTCCCCACTCAGTTCTCTTCGAACCAGCTTCAGGATTTCTATTATCTGAAACCAAATGAAAAGAAGATTCCATGTTTAGAAATGAATGAGTTAGACAACCAAATCGGACTTCAAGGTAATCGACACTGAGAGAAGAGGGGGGCAGTTGCTTACTCCGGGATAGTGTTTCAGTATAGGAGAATAATGATCTAATGCTATGTAGATCTTTTCAAGAAGGCCTAGAAGAGTGTCCACCTCATCGCCCAAAAGATCAACCTGAAATCATCAGAGAAAATCCACCAGATAAATAGACCGAAACGGAATTGTTTGTGTTTGTTTGACCGTATGGTTTCTGCTGTACTGCTCAAGGAATCAAATGAATCATTTTAGAGCGATAATATTAACTAAATCACCAATCGGAATCACACTGAATGCAATGCTCAATTGAAAATGACTACATTACCACAAGTTGAACCTAAGCTGATACGAAGATTAACATATGGCTTTACCTCAGCTTCAGCCTTTCCTAGGTCAGAACTTTTCCTCTTCAGTGCCTCCTTGTACAGAAACCCCATTTGCTCAAGTCTCTTAGCCTTACGCCTAAGAGCACTTATTTGGGAACTCATATTTTCCAACCTACACAAGCATGCATCATGATTTTGCATCAATATAATTCAACGAAACTCTGACACAGCTACTCACATCAGAGCACGATCTAGGTAACAGTAATAAACTATGATAGCAGAATGAAAGGTCAATGGAAAATGAGTGGACATTCAGGAAAAAGGCTTGCTTAAGGATATAATTGTGAAGTTTCCAACCAAACGAAGGTTCAATGAGACAGCTGAATCATGTAGGAACCAAGAGCATCTAAAGCCACAGTTATATTTCCAGTTTGGCCAAGTACTACAAGCTTGTGGTGTGAAAATCACAAGAGACGATGCTTTGGACAAACAAATATTGTTCTTGAGGGTAAAACACACCAAGGAAAACTAAATGCAGATTGCAGACTAAAGGGTTTACCTGAACCTATTCTTGGAAATAATCTCTTCTGTTCTACACTGGAAGGCACTAACAGTTGCGGACAAACCATGTATGAGAACAACTGCTGAGCCCATTTGATTTGCCAATTCCCTTTCTTTGGCCTCAAACTCTGATAAAGCATGTTGCTTCTCTTTTCCAAGTAGTTCGAGACTCTGTCTAAGCTCGCAAGATTCTTTATTATACATTTTTATTTTCTCAAATGCTTCACCAAGATTACCTCTGATGACTTCTGCTTCTGACCTGCTTTGAGAAAGTAATAATTGCTGCTCACTAGCATGCGCCTTCAACTTTTCAACTTCATCCGACACTACCGCATATCTCTGACTCTCTGTTTTAAGTGCATCTACCATCTCTTGCAATAGCTTCTCCTTCTCCTCGTTACTTGTTTCTAGTGCAACTATCTGTTTCTGTAAGATTTCTTTCTCGGCAACATTCAACCTCAAACGTTCCTCGATTTCCAACGCTTTCATTTCAAGGGCTGCTCGAACTTCACTTTCATTGACATATTTATGGTTTAATTCATAGAGCTCCATCTCAGCTTCCTGAAAGGCTTCTCTATAGATTATTTCACTCAATCCTTGCACGATAATGGCCTCCAAATCTGAATCCTCAGCTTGACACTTGGAGATTGAGTGATAGTTTTCAGCTGCTTCATTGCAAATCATATCATAGATCCCCTTTCTAATATCAATCTCCAACTCTAGTTGTTCAAAAGAAGATTCATTCTGGCCAATCATCTCCTTGATAAGGAACTTATATAGGTCGTCACTGAGTGAAGCTTCAAAACGTGCATCTTCTGCAGCCCACCTAAGATTGTTAATGAACCTGCGCAAATTTGCCTCCATCAATGAGGCTTCTGATAATCTTTTAGCCGCAGCACTAACTTGAGATGAAAGGAACTTGGTTTCCTTTTTCTTATCTGCTAGCGAGCCTCTCAGTTGGCGATTTTCCAGAGAAAGAGATTCCAACCTATGCTTCAAACATTCAAGAGACTCTCCAACATCGCCATGTGGAGGTAGTTTGTCATTTTCCATAATTAATCCATCCAATAACGAAGTAACGCCAGAAATTCTTCTTCTCAGTTCTTCAAACTCCTTGTCCTTCTTCAAAGGCGAGGAAGATGACCTTTCCCTCAAATACTCCCTTTTCAGACTAAATAATTCTTCTGTCATCTCTTGCACTTTTGACTCATGCTGTCTCCTCATTTTGATCATCTCAGTCTTATAATAGTTCGCTAAATCATCCCTTGACAAGTGCTTTAATTGTGAATGATCAAAATTTTCAGGCGTAAGAATGATTGATTCTGCTTGCTTGCCATTTGCCTCCCAAAGTGAATTTGTTGACGAAATATGATTGCATGAAACCTTCCGATGCTCCAACGATCCATGAGAAACAAGTTGGCCATTTTCTGGCACTGTCAACAATCTAGAAATGGCATCCAATTCCTGACGCAGAGTAGAGATCTCTTTAATTTTTCCTTCAGGCAAGTTTGCAGCATTGTAGCTAAAACTCTCTGCACTTTTATTCCACAATCTGAGTTCAAACTCTTCTTGGAGACCGCAAACACAATTCTTCATCACCATTCCTTCAATTTCTTGCTGAAAGTCTCTTTCCTGTTGCCACTGGAAAAGCACCGACTTTGACTGGTTAGCTGTATCTATTGCCCGTTTACAGATAGAATTCACTGCAATTTTGAAATCATGAAGACTCTTGTCCACATTGTCCCACTTATCAGGCACCTTTTCAGATAAGATACCACTTAATCCCAATGACTCGGAAGCTGAAGATATCCTTCTCATAGAACATGAACCTTTAACTTTGTCAATTTCTATCTTGAGCTTCTTAAACTGCTCTTTAGCATCTAATGTAAGCTTCTCCAAACACTCCTGTGAATAATCAAACTCTGCAGATGCATCTGAAGTAGAGGGATAAAGGTCAGTTTTCAGCTCCTCAAACATTGCTGAGTCACCAGAACCTTCACTGTCATCTATCCTCAATCGACGAGGGGGGAAAGTTTCTTTCAGTCTAGCCAACTCCAAATCTCTCTTTGCAATTTCATCAGAAGCTTCCTGTTGCACTGCAGATACAATGCCCATGATTATCGAGTCATTGACCACCCGAGAAACGGTCAAGCGGTCATTAATAATGGCCTCCGAGTAGACATCCAGTTCGTTGAGTATGTCAAAATCAAAGTTGTCATTCTCCTCAACCTTATTACTAAAATGCTGCAACAACCCACCATTACATCTGCCAACACCAACATCCATAACTTCTGAACTATCTAAGATCTCTTGGCTCCCCATCCTTAGTTAACAAAGAGCAATAATATATCACCAGAGGTCCAACGACTGCAAGATATGGTGAATCACCACGTTGAGCCACTCATGAAAGAAGCTGTTTTGCACTTCTTACAAGATTTCCCCGCTGGAATGCCAAATTTGCCAAAACAATAACAAAAACCAAACAAACGAATTAAAAACCAGAGACATAGATAACCCTTTACTAAGAGAGACGGTAGGACTAACACAGCAAACAAAAAGCTCTTAATTCGCCGGATACTCCTACAAAAATGTTCCTAAGATTCCAAACCTCAATTCCAAGCGAACTGAGAAAGACAGTTTGGAGTCCCAACTGCTCCACGATCCAAACCCAAATATGAATCAGCTCCTAACTCAAATCATCACAAAAAATTTCGAGGCACCCACAAACCAGGCAAAACTCAGAAGTTCATTTCTTTTCTTTCCTTAACTTTCCAGTTCCTCATCCACCAAATAGCCTTATATTCACCGATATGCTTAAGCTCAATTACACCCAAAGCAGAAGAACACAAACTGGAAAAGGAAGTAGCAGAAAGGGGGGAACTTACAACCTCAGCAGCAGAGCAATAGGAAGAAGGCAACCGAACCGCAACCGCCAGTGGCTGCTCCGGCAAACAGCCAAGGTGGCGGTGGTCAATGGAAGTCAAAAGGAGGAGGGATGGGGGAATCCCAAGATGACCGTTGAATTTCCTCAAAAGGGGCTGCTTCCAGCGAAAAGGGTTATCCCTCTCTGTCTCGCCTTTTCGGGTTCGGGTCTGGTGGGTGAAGTTAAGGGTTAGGGTTTTGGGTTGATAAGAAGCGTGAGGGAGCGCTCACTGGCAAACAAATTGAAATTACAGGGAACCAACAAAAGTCGGGTTCTGGTGAGCGGGAGTAGAAACGTACGTGAATCAGACCTCTGAAAGCAGTTTATTTACGTGTTGTGCCACTGCCTACTCGTCTTCTTCCCCTGCCCTTTCGGTGGCAGGGTGGCGGATGAATATTTTGGAACTATATGCAGATGGGTCAATTGCGTGAATGGTCACTAAACTTTGATTCTTAACCAACTTGTGACCTGACTTTGTACTTAATAGTGAATTTAACGGACCCGGCTCCTACCACGACATTTGCACATTTAGATGTTAATAGTAATATAGTACTAACAACTAACAAGAGAATTATCCTGCAGTAGATCCTTTAGATTCAATTGTCATTTACCTCAAAATGTTACTTGGATTTAGGTTAATTCTTTCGGATCACTTTGAGAATGATTGTGAGTGAATAAAAGCCTATATATATTTTAAACGTGATCTAATAGTTCAAATAATGGAAAATTAATTGGATCCTTCCAATATGAATGTCCGGATTGTGCCGCATATCGAGATTTAGTTGCTCAGCTTTCTTCTCCTTTTTTTTGTCTTGCTGTATAATTTTCATCAGTTTAGATCTTACATGAGTGATCTATAATCTCGATATATTTGGGTAAGCAATTACATCACTAAAAGAGGAGAAAGGATGAATCCTTCAAAAATAATGCACACACAACCCAGCAATACTCAGTGCCAGTGCCATGGACCCATGGTTAGATTGAATGCTTTAATGGTATAATAAAAGATGAGTTAAAAGTCTAAGTTGCACCATGTGAACTAGTTCTTTATCCATTTCTATATTAGCTCCTTAGATGGGGGCTTATTTGATCTTTGCCATTTTTTTAGGAGAAGAGAATGAGTAGGGTGGTTGATAAACAAGATTTTTTTTATTTTATTTTAAAAGTTGTATCAGTATTTGACCTTTTCATAATATACAGAGTACTATCATGAGACATGAATTATAAAAATGTAAATTTAAAAAGTGTTTAGTTGAATTACTATTTCTAATGTGAATCATGGCCTTAAATTCAATCATCTGAACTACTTTTCCTCTAACACCTCCCATCGAACATTGGCCGTCGATTCCCCTCGTGTCCATAAAACCTCAAGTGCGCCCGCCACTACACTAAAACTGCCCTCTAGTCCAGCGGGAAACGCTGTATTTCTAAAAATTTCCAGGAGGAGCAACGCGAAATCCACACTACAGCCAATGGTCTCCCTCACTCTCTCTCTCTCACTCACTCACTCTCTCTCTCTCTCTCTCTCTCTCTCTCTCTCTCTCTCTCTCGCATGGGCGCTCTCACTCTCTGCCGTTGCAGTCTGCCTCTGACGACGCTTCTTTGATTTCTTGATCTCCTTCCTCAACAACTTCTTCTTCTTCACTCTCTCTCTCTCTCCCGCACTGAAATCACAATAGCCGACGTCTCCACCTTTTTCTTCCCGCTGTCCGAAGATTCGTCTGTTCAGTTAATCGTCGGTTTCTTCGGCTCCTCGCCGAACTCTGTTGCCGTCACCTCCAACTCCTCCGCCATCCGCAAGTAGAAACAACCGTCTACGTACCTCAACCGTCGCTTCTTCTACTACAACTTCGGCTGCCTGCCTCATCCTCGGCGCAACTCGAGAGATCTCATACTCACGGTCAGATCCGATTTCCAGCCTCATCTTCTTTGGATTCCTGCCATTCCGCTAAACCTAGATTACTTCGTTTGCAATTGGAGGTCTGGTGATCTCTCCTTTCAGTTTTTGATACTCTTACTGCTTTTGAAACCAGACTGTTTGCGCTTTGCATTGAGAATTCGTGATTTGTTTCTTGATCGGGAGCAAAAGATTTCGAAGATTTAAGTTCATCTGCGTTAATGCACACTACGTGTTCGATGGTTTGTCTGAATGAGTCGATCGATTTTTCTGTACGGCCTTTCTTTCTGGATGCCGAAAAGGTGTTGTTTGGGAGTTGACTAGGAGACGAAAAGCAATTTTCAATTGGGAAATTTTCCTCTTCCGCTAAACGATGTCGTTTCTTTAGGTTTTTCCCACAGCGTGGCTTTTTTTTTTCTTTTGTCGCCTAGTGCAACGGAACCTCCAATAAGTTCCTTCCGGGCAAAGCTACTGCCGGTCTTGCCATTTTTCAACCATTTTTCATTCCTTCCATATTTGTCTCTTCTGCAGTGAAGCGGAAAAACCCTAGCCATGAACGACCGCTACATCTCCATCTCGGCCGGCGAAGAGTTCAGCCACAAGCGCAACTTCACGGTCGACTTCTTCGGCCACAGGATCATCACTACCGTCACTTCCACTCCCGCCGTGGCTCGCGAGTGGCTCTATGGCTTGCTCCGGTTCCACCGCCCCCGTCGCTACAAGCTCGTGGTCGGGCTCGGCGTTCAGTGGCGCCCTCCGTACGCAAACACCGCAGCCACTCTCCAGCTCTGCATCGGCACCCGATGCCTGATCTTCCAGCTGCTCCACGCCGACTTCGCACCGCGCATTCTCGAGCGCGTTCTTGCCGACCCTACCATCACTTTCGTCGGGGTTTGGAACCAGAACGACGCGCGGCTGCTGCAGAGCTCTCGGCACCAGCTTCAAGTGGCTAAGCTTCTTGATCTGCGTTCCATCGCTGCTGCATCCAGGGGACTGAGCACGACTTCGTCCATGGAGGCTTTGGCAGAGGGGGTTTTGGGCTATTCTGGGGTTCATAAGCCGAATTGGGTTGGTACCAGTGATTGGAATGCTTATCGCCTCTCTGATGCCCAGGTTCAGTATGCTTGTGTGGATGCTTTTGTGAGTTTCTCTCTGGGTAAGGAATTGGAGGCATGGAACTGGAACTGAAGAGTTTGTTTGGGCGGGAAGAAGCTTTGGGTAAGTGCATAGCTACACGACTATCGTCCTTCAGTTCAGCTTTTGATGTTAGTACTGATTAATCACCTTCTATGTTTGGACAATAGTGTTTCTGATTACATGGTTTACGGTCTGTAATTGTTGCCATTCATGTGTCGAACAGTCATGAATGGCTTATATGATTCTCATAGGGTGTGGATATTAGGCCAGTTTTGAATCCGAAATTGGACATATGGTGGCTAGCCTCGTCAAGGGTACTTGTGCTTGAGGCTACATATGCTCTGATTTGGGATTTGCCTATGCATGGATGATGTATCGGCCAAGTAAATAGTAAAAGTGAATCCACATACTGAATTGGAAATGTGGGGTGTTGATGACTATTGGCACATCCTATAGCTCTTTTGCCCTTTTGGTCTGCTTTCATTGTCCTTCCTTTTTAGATATTTGGTTTTGGTTCCTTTATATAATGTTTTCCTGGTGTTAGTTTTTCTTGTTATATTTTCACCAGTGGAGTTGGTACACTACTGGCCATCAATTGTTAGTTTATGCTTCCACATGATGTGTAATATTTGGATGCATGTGAGTTCCCCTAGAATTTTCATTTTTGTCTAGCGGAATCTATTCAGTGCTGGATGAATAGGGTATGTGGATTGTGTCCCGTGAAGGTAGGAAGTTGTTTGAGGATAGAACTTGGTATGAGCAATCACCTAAGGTATAGTTTGCTTGAAGAAATCGTTTGGTTTCTGGGATCATGCATGGCTGGTCCGGTGGGGGAAGATTGTCACTGTTGAGTGTATGTTTCCATTCGGTTGTGAGGAAAAGGCAAATGAATGGAACTTCTTTGAAGAGTTGGTTATGAACTATGTTTTTTTTGTAGGGTTTATAGACTTCAATAGATTAGTGGTGATTAACTTATTACTCAATAGGCATAAACCTCGGTATGTTGTAGGTTTGTGTTGTGCTTACTGCACTCTTTGTTCTCTTTGTTGATATGAAAGGTTGAGATTGATTGAATTATTAGTCGAGATGGACTGTATATTGGCTTGGAGTGTGTGTTTTCTTCTTCTTTATTCTTTCAAAAATGAATGTAGGTCAAATTGCTATTGTTTATTAAGTTGATAGGGGTTTGTGAATTCTGAACAACATTATAATGTTTGTAGTAGGCTGACATATATATGTCTTTAATTATAAGTGTGAATGTAACAATAGGAATTTGCCGTTATTACTATCAATGTTAGCCTTGGGAGTTGGGAGGAGAGTTTGATTTGATCATCATCAGAATCTGTTTATGAGAAATAAAAGGTTAGGCTAGAATTTGTGGAGGATGAGGGGTCTAGCTGGAAAGTAGAATATGGAGGACATATATTAGATAGTATCTATTTGCGGATTCGAATTTGAATGTTACAACTTGAACTTGTGTTGGTGATCTGGAGATGGCTTATTGTGTCTTCTTTTTATTAATGCGTTTATTAGTTGTACTCCCTACGTTGCCTATTGAAAATCCTTTTATTACTTATTAGCCAATCGCATTACTATTGTTGTTGCTAATTTGTTTTCTATTTTAAGTGAATACACATTTATTTGGCACACAAATTATTGAACATTGAATTCTACAGGTTTCTTGGCGAAAACTTTGCCAACAAAACACTTTTTATTTAATTGGTTTGTTTAATTAAAGTCCTCTATGCAACTGTAGGTTTGAATCATGATTGATGGGTGATGATTATATGATTGGAATGCTATTCATAGTGAAATTAATTATACAGTTGATGGGTGTCATTATTATTGCGTACACACAAAAAGTGTCTCAATTAGAGCTTGCTTATTACGCCATGCATGATCGATGCATGTTGGTTGGATTCGTTGCATAAGTCAATTAATGGACTTGTGATCTGGTGGGAGTTAATGGACGGACCGGCGGCGGGGCGTGCCTTGCCTGCTGCCGTTTACGTGGGGGAAGGCCCGCCACCGTGAAATTCCGGAGGCACTGTTTTAGAAATTAAACATGGCTTGGCAAGAATTTCGTTTTTTTTTTGGTTGTGTACAAAGAACAAACTACTTTCTAATGGGTCGAGGCCCAAATTTAACAAACCAATAAGCAATGGGCTGAGGCCTTATGGGGGTAGCAATTACTGGTAATGAGCGGAGGCCCCAAACTAATAGCAAGCTAGGAATTCAATGGAAAATTAGACTAGCAACCACTAAAAATGGACTTGGGCCTGTGCTCGGGTAAATGATTTTTTTTAAGCCCTTCTTATAAAGCACTCGCAATCTTTCTTATGAGTTATGATTTATGAAATATAAAATTCTCGAGGCTGATTACGGTGATCAACTTGCTGATACCAAAAATTGATGCATCCCTGTGGAATATCATGAGTCATGATTGGGACGTAAATCAGGAGAGCGGATCCCATGACTAAAGGGTCCTTAGTCACTTGACTAAGCCTCTCCTAGCCATTAGATTTGGACACTTCAATCCAATGGTTAAAAAGTGTGAAGTGTTATTTAATTCATGACGGGGGTAGTTGAGGTATTATGGAAAATTATTAAGTATACAAACCGGATTTACAATCAGTACAAACCATACAAACATACGAACAGTACAAACTAGAGCGACAAAACATACAAACAGATTCACAAACATTACAAACGTATGAACTGTACAAACAATACAAACTAGACCGACAAACAATACAAACCATACAAAAAGAAAAAACAACCGGGTTGACTTTGGAGGCTCCATCCCTATATAGAGGGGCTCTTTCCCAAAGTCAACCCGGGTGTTTTTTAGACATACAAAACAGTACGAACACGGTGGACAAAAATGACAAACTAGACCGACAATTCATACAAACTGAAAAAACACCCAGGTCGACTTTGGAGGCTTCATCCCTATATAGAGAAGTTTCATCCAAAAGTCAACCAGGTTGTTTTTTAGACATAAAAAATATTACAAACATGGTTGACAAAAATAACAAAGTTTACAAACATTACAAAATAACAAAGCGTACAAACATTACAAAATATGTCAACAAACATCACAAAGCACTGTCGCCGGAAAATTCTTCTCCATCGACGATGGTCGTCGGGAAAAAATTTTCCGACCAGAAAATATCTCTCTCTCCCCGTGTGGAGCCACAAACAAATGGGGAGATATAAATCCCATATCCCGCAGGAACAAAATTCCTGGTCGGCGGCGCATCCCCATCCCTGGCCGTCGGTGCTGACTAGGACGCCGGGAACCTAGGAGGAACGAAAATCACAGGCCGCCGATGATGCCCGCACGCGGAAACCCAGCCAGAAAAAACACGCGAGCATTTTAGGTTTTTTAATTAATAATTGAAAATTAATAAAGCATGCAATTGCTATAATGCCCTTCATTAAATTGAATTAATCTGACCCATTAGATTTTAATGAGGTGGAAGAGCTGAGATTCACTTAGTCATGTGACTAAGGACCCTCCCCTTAGTCACTTGATCTTAGCCCCGTAAATCAACTTAAGCACCTTATTTTAAGAAGATTAGAGATCTTTGACGAGGCTTCTAAGCTATTTATTTCATATACCATTCGACGTTGTGTGTAGTCGACAAGACAATTTTTTTTTTTTTGCTTGGTGACAAGACAATTATGTAGACGTTATCGTTTCATCATCAACTTTGCAACATCCAGGAGGTCACGTGTCCCATGCTTAGTGGTGACCTAACTAACTTGTTAATGAGCCCAAAGTTATTGAAAATTTGTATAATTGGGCACCAGGTCTCAATTTGACAAATCCAGAAACTGGAAGTAAACTCACTATTGCTAACAAGTACAGCCACCTGAGCAGAAGGTTGGTTTTAAAATTTAAATGAAAGAAATTAATGGGCTCAATCTCAACCTACATTGTTAACAAGCAGGGCAAACCAGCGACATGAAGCAACTCAATTCATTCTTTCATCTCAAAGGTTGCTGGAGATGGATAGCAACCGCCGAGACATAACTTCTCTTCTCACTTGATCTCTTCTTATCTTCCCCGTCGACGTACGTGGGAATTCCTCCTTCCACCGGACGAACATTCTCGGTGCTTTAAACCTTCCATCCCACCAAACAACAAAAATGAAACCCTTACGTTAAATGTCAGAACAAAGAACTGAAAGAAGACCAATACACTGACTTTCCACTTCCATGGACGGTGAATTTCAGAGGAGAAGTTACCCTGTTAAATTCTTTGCTCTGCAATACTTCGTCAGAGTCTCACTGCATAACACTTGCCTGCTCTCATCCTCTGCAACACAACAACCACTATCCGACCATTCCCAGCTTTCTCTCAATTGAATGCAACCAACCACCAGCTCGGCTAAACGAGCGTCTGGAATCCCCACGACCACAGCACCAATAACTCCTGGATGCTGTAACAGGACTGCTTCTATCTGTATCACCAGCTACCAGTGTTCTAGTTAGTGCTCAGATGGAGATAAAAATGATTTTGTTGTTTGTATTTTTTTTACCTCTGCTGGGTGAACGTTTTCACCACCTGTCTTGATTCGGTCATTGATACGCCCAACGAGCCAGAGATTACCACTGTCATCGAGAGAACCAGCGTCACCAGTGTCGAGCCAAATTGCAACGGTGGGTTCCAATCTCTGGGGAGCAGTGTATTGATCCCAGTATCCCAGCATAACATGAGGGCCTCTGGTTAATATTCTTCCATCTCGATTCACTTTTAATTCGACATGTGGGGCTGGCATGCCAACACAGACACCTTCTGGTCCCTGAGACTGGCGAGAGATTTCGGCCACTGTTGGATCGTGTAGAGCCATGAAAGTTAATGAAGAAGAGGTCTCTGTCATTCCTACATGGAAAAAGAAGAAGGAAAGTGTTAAAAGTTACTGAATTTTCACATAGTAGAGGGGAAGCCAAAGGAAATGTCGTGGAGAACATTGAAGCAGGCCAATACCATATGCTGAAAGAAGCCTTGCTTGTGGGAAGAAATTGGCAACTAGTCCTATGAGTTCAGGTGGAAGACTCCCGCCTCCATTTAGGATCTTCTTAACGGAGTGCTTGCCTCTCCAGTTTTCCTTCATTCTGGAATAGAAGATTTTGGAAGTATAAGATCAAACAGAAACAATGACTTGCAAAAAGAAGTGAACCTCTGCATCTTTATTCTTACGTGATTGAGGAAATCAAGTCAACCATGATCGTGGGGACAGTGATGAAAGAAGTCACCGAGTGTTTCTCAATGGCATCCACAGCTGCTGTAGCTTCGAATTTGGGTATCAAGACATGACAAGCTCCAACCATCAACATGGTCAAGGCTGACGATAAGCCCCCAATGTGGCAAAGTGGAGCAAGATGCAAGTAAACCTGCACATGAAACACCTCAGGTTGATGATCGTCCACACCGTTAGAGTCATTCACACACGTCCAAAGAAAGCGATAAGAACTCGAGAGGAGTGGCATACATCTTCCTCACTGTAACCAACGATGGCTACTTTAGCTAATGACTGTACAATCAATGCAGAATGGCTAATGACAGCACCCTTTGGCTTGCCCGTGGTGCCTAAACACAACACCACGAAAACATCTCAGCTACCCATTGCCATTTTCTGGCGATAAGCAAGCATCATAGTTGGTGGCAATGACAACCATTGAGCCCATACCTGAAGTGAAACACACTATAGCAGCACCATCAGGAGCCCAAGTAAAATTCAAATCCAGATCTCCCATAGTCTGGCTCCTAATTGTTTCAGTGGCCAGACCTGAGAGCAGATTATGAGGTCAAGAAGCTGAAAATTGTAGCGAGAATTCTGTTCTTTTGACTACGGATAAACAGAATGAAGCATACTGTTTGGCAATTTCATAGAATCAAGGGAATTGGAACCGATGAAAACTCGCCACCTCAGGAAAGGGAACTCGCTATCGTAGTCGAGATCGGAGTACCAGCGGCTACAGCTTTCGTCGCTCACCAACATCACAGGCTTGACGGCCAGAATTGCCGATTTGATCTCTTGGAAGCTCTGCGGCAATATGATTCTGTTTTCGATTAGGAACGAAATCAAGCTCTAGAGGCAGCCAAAATTGGTATTTGCAATGAACTCAAACTCACCCATCGGTAATTCAACGGAGCAACTATTCCTCCCACAAACGCAACCGCCAGCAACCACTCCAGATACTCATCACTGTTGATTCCAAAGAGCGAAGATGAATATCCAGACCACATACATTCGCGGAGATGAAAGTGAGAGGATTGAGAGGCGGAGAACGAGAATACCTGTTGAAGGCGGCTATGGCGACGACGTGGCCGCTGCGAAGGCCGAGTTTGGTAAGTCCCTGGGCGAGGGCAAGGACACCTTGGACGAACTGCTGGCCGTTCTTCCGCCGGGCTCCGGAGATTGTGACTGGGGAATTTCGTCGAACAGTTGACAGGCGTGTCAGGCACTGGCAGATATGGGCCTTAGAGTAAGTTGACATTTTACGAAGTAGGGGAATGAGATTGTGATCGGAGGACTGGCCGGCGGCTTTGGTGGTCGGTGTCTATGGTTTTTGAAAGGAGTGGAAGAAGGCGCGGAGTGGATATCTTATCCGATTGCATGATTCGCTGTAACAGTCTCAGGATAAGAAAAATGATTGGGCCTATTCTTCATACATATTTAGGAGCCTGGCTGCTAGGCCCAACCGATGCGGCCATAAGCTTTTGTAAGATCAACCTTCTCACAAATTTTGTTTTCATAAATGAAATCATAAACGAAGTGGAGAGAGAAGGTAAAGGTAGAGAGAGGATTGCTCTTGCCTCCCTCCTCGTGAGTGGTATGACCGTTGGGATGAAACCGTCAGAGGAGGCAGCAAACCATTGTTTGAAGCCACCAGACAAGTCGCTGGCGTCTTCTCCAGTGTAGCCGAGCAAGAAATATCGAGCTACAACGAGTGGCGGATTCACTGGTAGTGGCGATATGGATGTGGCGATTGTTACAGCCAGAGCTAGAGAGGAAGTCTCCGCTATGAAGACCCCGGGAACGACTGCATCGGAGCATAAAAGATGGCGGGTTCTGGTCAACGGAAACACATCTGAGTGACCCGAAGATGCAGGCTAATCAAAGACCCAAAGTTTCGTACAAAGACTCATTTCTTGGGAATGAACCAGAGGAGGAGATCCCGAAAGGCGACGGCCTTATGTCCGATGAGTCAGACACAAAGGAAGGGTAAGATGATCCCTTCTGCCCTACAATCAGAGTGAAGAAGAGTACTAACGCAAGAATTCGTAATCGATGGAAAAGGGCGATTACCTTTCGTGTTCTTGGTAAGAATTTCCCTTGTGCCTTTATCCATAGAAGAGTTCATAAGATGTGGCATGTGGGCGAGAACAAGTAGGGATGGCAAAAATATTTGCAATCGTGGATATCCGCCCGAATCTGACATAATTGGATAGGGTAAAACCCAAACTCGAAGAATTTTTTGTGGGTACAGGTAAAACCCGAACCCGAATATTGCGGGTAATGGGCAGGTATGGTTTTCTCACTATCCAATCCGAACCCACCCGATTACACTCATGCATATGTATTTGATCTATAAGTAATCATTATTTTTCTCGAACATATTTTATATTTAGCATATAAGTATAAAATTTTCACGAAATTGTGTTGTTTTAATTAATCTTCTTCATTCTAGTGAATTATTGTCATACTTTTCTTCTTATATAATGTGAGAATACATGTGAATGTTAACATACTGGTTGGAATTATAGAGAGAAATTCGTGTCCATGGATAACCGTGGATACCCGAAACCCGAACGAGTATCGGCATGGTTTTGATTTTCTGAAGGGTTAAAGGTCATCCTAAAAATTACTAATCGTCGTCCTAACTTAATATGTAAATTACTTAATTACCCTTTTTAAAATTAAAAAGCAAACCCTACCCAAACACTCCCCTTCCTCTACCTTCGTCCCCATCACTTCCCTTCCTCCACTTCCCGTCCCCAGCAACAGAGAGACCCGCCGCCCCACGCCCCACGCCGGCGACCCGCCGGCCCACGCTGCCACGCCGTCGCCGACCTTCCCCCGTCGCCGTCAGCCGCTTCCCAAGTCGCCGTCAGTCCTAGTCGTCCGCTGCGCCTCCACTCGCCGTCGCCGTCAGCCCTCCTCCAGTCGCCTGCCGTCCGTGCTCGCCGGAGAAGAAGGTAAGTCCGTCCGTCCGCCTCGCCCATCACTGACCGAAGCCGCCGTTCGGTTGGCCCTCGGTCAAACCGAGGTCAACATTCGGTTGGCCTTTGGTCAAACCGCAGTCAACATTCGGTTAAGCCATGGTCAAACCGAAGTCAACATTCGGTTGAGCCATGGTCAAACCAAGGTCAACTTTCGGTTGAGCCATGGTCAAACCGAAGTCAATTTTCGGTTGGTTGATTTTTAAATAATTTTAATGCAATTAATTAATAAAAATTGTTATTAAATATTGTAAATTATGTAATAATTAGAAATAATTGTAGTTAATTATAAATAAGTTGAACGGTTTATAATTTATTATAAAAATTAAATTCGAATATTTTTATGAATTCAATTATGAAAAAAATATTGTGAATAATGTAATAAAAATTATTAAAAATTATCTGAAATTTTTAAAAAGTATCAAAATTTAGAAATATAATCTGTAAATTTGTAATTAATGTTAAAAAAATATTAGAATAATGGGAACATTAAAAAGTAGTTAAAATTAGACAAAAAGACTAAGAAAGTTGTAATTAATGTTAATAATAAATGATCAAAAAGTTACAAAAAAATTAGAGAAAAATATCAGAAAATGTTAATGCATTTGATTATCATTAATTGTAAATTTTTTTTTTTTTGAAGATGTCTGGACATGGAATAGGCAAACAGTACATGAATAAGAAAAGAATGGAAGAAAAAACGGAAGGAAGAATGGAAGGTCGTGCTTGTAGACTTACAGCGACCGGTAGAAAAGAAAATGAAGAAAAAAATCCACGTAAGGTTAAGGGGAAGAAGAAGAAGGCGGAAATAGGGCGTCCCGACGGTCGCCCTACTATGGGATAGTTATCTCTTAGTCGAGGTACTACCTCCACCCCTACTCCTGAGGATGCGACGCCGTGGGAGGCTAATTGGAGTGATTCAGTTTCTATGGACGACGACGATGATGATGATGATGATGATGATGTGGCTGTTGATGAGGTTGGGGATGCCCCACCTAAATCTGATGTAGGCATCGGTAAGAAGAGACGAGTTGGGACATCTTCTACAACTTCTTCGCACTTTCCACAGCGTGGGCTAGATGGACGCTACGTTGCGAGACGTAGTAGTGAGGAAGACGGTGATGGTAAGAAGAGGAAGAAGGGAGTAAGGGGGGACATGTCGTGGCGTCTGACATCGGAGTCTCAGATGTGTTCAGGTGGACCTGTGATTCCCGATGTGATCCCTAGCTTTGGAGGTCACATTGCCTTTGCACTGTGGACTTCCCCAGCGCAGGATCGTGGGTTGTTGGATTGTTGTCATAGATCTGGTAGTGTGGAGTCTTTGAGGAGATATGAGTGGAGTTTAGAGGGTTCTCAGAAGGTGGTTGAGGGCACAGGATTGTCCCACTTTGCAGGGTGTATGATGCAGCATTTAGATACAGCTTTGATAACGGCATTTGTGGAGAGATGGCAGCCGGACACGAACACTTTCCATATGCCATTTGGAGAGATGTCGATTCTTCTCCACGACGTGCATCACATTCTCCGTATTCCAGTTGAGGGGGAGCTGATGAGAGATGATCCGCATCCAGATGTTCTTAAGTTAGACATGCATGATCTAGTTCGGGTCCCGGTGGATGGTCCTGTTGGTGGTAAGTGGAAGTCAAAGTGGTTCCTTAATGGTGGTATACACGCAGAGGGATTGTTGGTGCGTGGTAGAGAAATGAAGATTAGGGACCCGGAGGTGCAGACTTACTTGTTTGTGTTGTTGGGATCCACACTTTTTGTGGATAAGAGTCGTGATCGCCTCCGTCCTGCGATCAATGTATTTCTGAAGGACCAGCGACGAGTGGCCGGTTACGCCTAGGGAGCTGCTGCACTCGCCTATCTCTACAGACAGCTAGGGATGGCCACACGAGTGGGGAGTAAGAGTATTTGTGGTTGTTTGACTCTGCTTGAGGCGTGGATATATGAGTATTTCCACTCTTCCATCCGAGCCAGATTCTCCAGGCTCCAGATGCTCCGCGTGCTTCCTCGTGGGTGTGTCACCGCTTTGCAGGTGGTGATGATGCTAGACAGCGCTTGGTACGGTATCGACAGATGTTGGATGAAATGTCAGGGGAGGATGTGTCTTGGACTCCTTACGGGCGAGATGCTGGCACGGAGGTACTACGCTCTTTGTATACTGGTGTCATTCGCTTTGCTGACGTTGCTGAGGGTTATGATCCCCCGTACGATGATGGTTCCCAAGGATGTGTACCGCCCAGCTTCTTGCAGCACCTACATCGTTTTCTGGGAGGGTAGCATGGATCAGTTATGGGGCAACTTGCCGTCTCATTTTCTACACATAGCGATTGATTCTGACTTGTGCGAGTATCCATCTGAGGCCGATGAGGATTACATGGACTGGTACCGGACTCGATCGCACCCACGGATCATCAATCCGGACTCTGGTGGAGTGTCTCTACAGCGGCCAGTGCTAGTCGATGAGGTTAGTTATGTCATAATTGTTCAATTTTTAATGTATTGTTAATATGCTTTTTTTTCCATTCATGACATTATTTTGTGTATTTACAGTTGAGGAAGCAGATTGTGGAGAAGCTTGGTCCTGTGTTGGCGGTGAGGGACAAGGATCACTATGTGGAGCATGCATCTGAGTACTACGATATGATGAGTGAGGTTCACGAGTTGTATGACCAGTTAGTCGGAAAGACTCCTTAGTGGAGTGTGGCATTTCTAGATTGTTATCCTTGTACTTTATTTTTATTTGGAATTGCTAGTTTGTTTATTTTTATTTGGAATTGCTAGTTTGTCTTTGCCCGTGAGATGATCTAACTTTTGGAATTTTCAGATGATTGGACTTTGTTTCTTTTGCATTTCTAAAATAGTAAATCAAGAGTTGCATCAAATACAATAACTACAACTACATCTAACCATCAACCGGCTGGGTTTAAACTATCATAAAATTGGCGTTCTTGTGAGAAGAATTGGTCCCAACCATGGACACTAGGATCATGATAAATAGGCCAAAGCCCATTAATCAAAGGCAATGGCACTTGACCAGGTCGAAAGTCAAGACGCACCCAATGACATCCCGTAAAATGTAGTGATACGATCCCACGTGGTCTTGTTACTCCTGGTGGGGCAATCACAGGTAGCACGGTATAACGACCGCCTTGACTATAGACAGCAATTACCCATGAATGCAATGTGGCAAAGACGAAAAGCTCCACATTATCCATCCAGTGGGTAACGCCACAACCACGATTTTGAGTCCACCTGCAACGCCGAAGCCCATTATCTATTCCGTCGGAAATTCCATCATAGTATGGTCTGTAAAGCTCAGGTCGGGCTTCAAGCTCTTCTACAACCTCGCGTCTCATCTGCAACCAATTGTTTTGGGACCCGGTAAGTGCTTGTGATATTGCTCGAAATCCGCAATGTCCATCCGGTTCTGGGTTGAACCAACCACGAATGTATGGTTGCACGTATGTTTCCAAACAATACAACCACGGGTAACTCCGCCAACTAGTATTGGGAGTTCTGATAACCCTCCAAGGGGCACCATCTGTCCCAAAATACACAACACAATGAATTAATACAAGAGGTATACAACATCTAATCATCTAAAATAGGGACACTACTTCTAACCTGTATCATTATGAGTATCCGGCTCCGTCCCATTCGTATTTGTGGACTCGAAGTTGGTGTGTGCATCAGGGATACCACCTAATATCATTTACAAAAATAAGTTAGTTATACATCATATTCTACACAATTGCACATAAATTTCCCAAAAAAGTACAACCTACCTGTCCTCTGGTCATTGTCCGGTGTTGTAGTCGAAGGTATCGAACTTCTCCTCCCCCGTCTCCTCTCCACATGCTCGAAGTGAGAAAGGTTTCGCGTGGTGGATGTCCTCGGGCGACCGGGTCGGGGCTGCCCCCCATGCGGCTCATCAATGCATCATTTTCCGGATGAAGATGACTCCGAAGTAGGCCAATAGCCCCTCGAATGGTCTCATCTCCCCTATCAAGAACCTCCTGTACTAGACCTTGGAAGACATCACGATGATAAAGACTATCGTCATCCCACTCTGCCCGAGTAGGAGGTTCACGATAGTTCATAATGGTCCAAAAAGCTAACACCTCATATGTGGCAATGTCCCTCTTTTCATAACGTGCTAACTGCATTGCACATCTACATGGGAGACCAAAGATAGCAGGAAACGTACATGTACAACTTGCTCCTTCCACTGATACCTCAATGAGCATCAACCTCATAGCCTGTAGAGTGACGTTTGTATGCAACTCCCGAAATGGTCTTCCGTCAGCTAGTAACATCTTCTTTAATCTATAATCCTCTAGAAGCTTTTGGATTTGAAGATGTTGAGCCTCAATGTAATCATGGTTCTTCTTATAAACCTACAAACAAAGAAAGAAAATTAGGATACTAGATTAAGTAAAACTTCTAAAGAAGACATAAATGAAAATTTATTAAGAGACTAACCATGTCGATTGCACCAGTTGCTGATTGAAGCCACTTCTTGAAGGATGAATGAGCAGATTCAACCCGATTTGAGCTTGTATTACCCAAATGTCGCACTTGGTTTGTATAACATGTTGCCCACATGTGCTTGTTTGGTAACCACTCATCTGACAAGTACCTCCAAAGACGTGGATACTGTACTCCCCAACTACGCCTGAAACTGTCTAAAGCTCTATTCATGCCTTCCTCATTGCCGGCATATACAATCCTTTTCCAAGACGCCATGATCAGATCCAGTGTCGGTTGGGCTGCATCTATCCCACAATGAGACGTCCTCCTCACCTCCGTTAGACACCGTGCTCTCAAATTCCTGTCTACATGCCAAAGGCATAGTATATGAGTCGATGATGGAAACATTACCCCCATGGTCTCAAGCAAATGTTGCAGATGCGTGAGAAGCCACTGGTACGACTCTTTTGTCTCGTCATACACTAAAGCAGATGCAATGACAAAGTTCAATCCCACCGGTGTCATGCCAACAATCTCAACCCATGGAAACTCATACTTGTTGGTCTTGTATGTTGCATCTATCACAATGACATGGTGCCAAGCTCGCAACATCAATATTGACTCAGGGTGGGCTAGGAACAAGTGTGTAAGCACGTTACAGTCATCCACATACTGCACATAGTAACCCTTCTCCCGAGCATCTTGAAAAGTGTACTGTAAGGCCGTCCTCTGACCAAGCTCTTCTTTTCTTATCTTATACAATGCGTTAGAAATCTATCTTTTGTTCACCTTTCCATGCTCCCCTTTTCTCTCGTTCACTGCCTTGTGGATATTCCTTGGGGCGACACCGGCTAATCTCAGTTGTCTGATGTATTGCTTATCATCTTCGGTCAAAAACATTCCTCTTACTTGATCCATTCGGAAATAGCTCCAGCGGATGATTGTGAAAACCCAAATTAGCACCAGGATTCTTTCTATTAGCCACTGCTAGTATCAACCAATATCCATCATCTGACCGCTCAATCTTGATCTGAAATTCACACCCCAACTTTCCAGAAGAAGTAAGAGGCCTCCTTTCCTTAGCCGGATCAGAATCAGGAGCCTTCGAATTTTTCTTCCTACCATGAGTGCACTTCAAGTATCGTCGCCTACTATCTTCACTTGGATTTTTTTTATTTGATGCCTTCACCAAATAAAACCCAAAACCCTTGGCAATCTCAGTAGCTGCTGCATATGCAATCAAATCTGTATCGTATTTTACTCCATTGACGAATTCTGAGGTGTAATCTTTGTCATCCCCTCCGTAATCATCAATATCCTACAATGTTAGATCTCATGATATAAGTAGGACTCCACAATAATAGAAAATCTAACGACTACATTTAATTTAACAATTATCACAAATAATTTAGCATTCTCTATATTCTCCTAAGCAAAATCCAACATTTAACATGACAAAATTTAGCATTCTCTATTATTTACATACTATACATCTAATGTAAGAATCATATTAATCACATTCTAGAATTTTTTTATTGCGTATTATACATCTAATCTTAATTTTGTATACAAAAACATTCAAATTCACAAATAATTAGGCTCATAAATTTTAAAAATAATATAAACTAAAATTCAATAAACAATCTTATAGACCAAACTACATTTAATTTAACAATTATCACAAATAATTTAGCATTCTCTATATTCTCCTAAGCAAAATCCAACATTTAACATGACAAAATTTAGCATTCTCTATTATTTACATACTATACATTTAATGTAAGAATCATATTAATCACATTCTAGAATTTTTTTTATTGCGTATTATACATCTAATCTTAATTTTGTATACAAAAACATTCAAATTCACAAATAATTAGGCTCATAAATTTTAAAAATAATATAAACTAAAATTCAATAAACAATCTTATAGACCAAACTATAAATCATAACAATAAAATAGAAATATTTGATATAAACTTAAAAAAACCCAAAAGCCACCAACAGAAGCGAATTTTCGGTTCCACCATGGCTAAACCTAACCCAATTTTCGGTTTCACCATGGCGTAACCGAAGGACTGGTTCGGTGCCACCGTGGACCAACCGAAACAAATTTTCGTTTCACCCATGGCACAAATGAAGCAGATTTTCGGTTCATCCATGGCTCAACCGAATGTGATTTTCGGTTGGTCCATGGTTCAACCGAAATAAAAACGAGATTTTTACCTCGTCGGAGTCGTTACTCATTGTTCGGACGTATGCTCGACGATTTCGGCTTCCAAATGTCGACGATGAATTCGAGAGGGTGGGAGAATGAGTGTTTTTTGTTTTCTAAGAGAAGGTGGTGTTTGTTTGCTAAAGGAAAGGTAAAGATGTTAAAAGGTTAAAAGTGTAACTTTGTTGTTTTTTAGACGATCATTAGTAATTGTTAGGACGACCTTTATCAACTCCCTTGATTTTCTACCCGTTTCTCATGTTCGTATGGGTATGGGTAAAACCCGAACTACTTTGAGTAGGGTAACGGATATACACTATTCGCTCCCGACCCGACCCGTTGCCATCCCTAAGAACAGGAGGTCTTAAGATTGGGGATATTGGGAATGGCTACTTCCAAAAACCCTTTTTGATTCACAACTGGATTACGAGCGTGCCCTTCATGGCGGATCGTGGACGGTTGACGATCACTATCGTCTCCGAGCCGTGGTGATTGAATTTTGTCCTGATTTTGATGAAATCAACAAGACTGCTGTTTGGGTTAGGCTTCCCCGTCTACCAATGGCCTATTTTGATGAAGAAATCCTCAAAGCATTGGGAGCAAGTTTGGAAGGGTCATCAAAATTGACTATAACAGCCTGATAGTTATATGATAGTTATACTGCGGAAGGTTCTTAAACAGCCTGAAGTCTCGACTAAAGGTCTTCAGACCCTCTCAATCTGAGTCTCTAGCGTGCGACTAACCTCCACCGGAGTAAACAGATTGAGGCCTTAACAAACAAAACCTCCACTATCGGAGTAAATCCGGTACAGAATAGTGAGTTGGCTCCTCGACTAAAGTCACCAACTCCTTACCTTCAATCAAGGATGCTCTATCAACCTAGGCAGATATTCTCATTCTAGGTTAAAGCAGAAACAACAGGAATTTGATCAGGATTCAAGTCATTCAAACCTCAATCGAATATAATCAAATCATAGAATCAGTACTTGGGTTCATACAATCAAAGCCTAACATACAAATCTAGGGTTCTCCATACCCAGATGAATGGGAGAACTACTCCATGGAGAAAAAAGCAAAAGCAGAATCAGACGCGGAATTCATACTGTGAAGGATGGATTCCTGCTTCTGGACGTTGATCGACACTTCTCCAAGCTCAAACTGGTCTCCAATGGTGTTGAAGATCAATCTAGGGCACTTGGAGACTCTTGTTCGTCGCTTTCTCTCTCTAGGAATCGTTCTCTCTCTCAAAAACTCGAATCCCCTTCTCTTTGGCTGAAAATCTACTTAAAAGCAGAAAATCCCGACTCACACGGCCAGGGTGGCACGGCCGTGTGGCTTACCCAGTTGCCCGTGTGAGTCAAAACGCTGCGTTCCAATTAGTTCGATCTTCAGGCTTCTCACACGGCCAGGGTCGCACGGCCGTGTGAGATTTCCATCTGCCCGTGTTTGCTCTCGGCGAAACTCGCACGGCCAAACCACTCCTTCACACGGCCGTGTGAACATCAGGGCAAGCCGTGTTTGCTCTCGCACAATCTCACACGGCCAAAGTGGTCACTTGCACGGCCGTGTGAGTTGTGGGTGTGCCCGTGTGACCTCTTTTGTGACTTGTCTCGCGCCCGATCTTCGCCCAATCGACCCCGAACACGAAATATCACAAACAAGCACAACCTAGCGTGAAATCGGTCTAAACCTTCATTCACTTGCCAGGACCTGAAACCTTCATTCACTTGCCAGGACCTGAAATATCACAAACAAGCACAACCTAGCGTGAAATCGGTCTAAAACACGAGAAACCACATCTCAAACGGTGTAAGAACAGGGGTGAAAACATGTGTAATTAACGGTCTATCAGAAAGTTTCCATAGTCTTTGAGGCTTGGATGAATAATAATATGAGGTTGTGTGTCCTTTGTGTTCGATAACAAAAAGCCTTTTTTAATCTTTCCGAAGAGAGAACATAAGACTTGTGTCGATCTAGTTAAAAATAATGATAAAGTTTATCCCCATATGATCGATAACTAAATCTTATTTAAGAAACAAAAAGTACAATATATAATGTATACTATGTACGATAGTACGGATTAGTGCAACATTTGCCACATAAGCACGCACAGTTGGATACATAATAACTATTACATGTAAAGGAATCTATAACAATAAGGATGCATAAATGTATACATGTCAAGTAATCTATGATAGATAATTTTATGGCAAGCAAATCACATATTTTTTGGTAATAATGTTATAAAAGAAATCTTTAGGGTGGGCAAAACAATAATTTCATTGGTGCTGCAAAACTTGCTTCCATACTCAGGATTGTTTTCATTTTCCAATTCACTACACTTTTCCTACGCTATAAATATGTTACAAAAAAACATCAAGCAAAGATACAAATATCATTCCTCTCTATATACAACCAACCCCGCCCTTTGATTCTCAATATTTCAACAAATGGCCACAAACAACAACAACAACAACAGTGATAACTCTGTCGCTAAGAAAACAAAAGGAAAACAAAAGATCGAGATGAAAAAGATCGAAAAAGAAGGATGTTTGATGCCCACCTTCTCAAAACGCAGGTGGGGTATCTGCATGAAAGCGAGCGAGCTCGTCACCTTGACGGGCAGTGAGGTAGGGTTCCTGATTTTTTCTCCTGGAGGAAAACCTTTCACATTCGGAAATCCTTCGTTCGAAGACCTCGCAAATCGGTACATGGGCCACCAACCGGAGCCTCAGCTACCGTACGATCCGGAAATTTTCAGACGAGCCAGGTATTAGAGTATTTGTCGTCGGTACGAGTATTATTGTGTTATACTACGAGTACTGTTACGTGTTATATTCCTTATTAGAGTCATGTAAGTTATTGTAGAAATCACTCTTTGTACTCTATATAAAAAATTCTATGTAGTTTCAGTAATAATACACAATAGTTTTCCATGGTTTACCAACAGCAGGATCGAGGAGCTCAACCATACTCTGAGCGAGCTGCTCGATTCGGTGGAGAAGAAGAAGAAGGAAGAGATGGTGCTGCACCAAAAGCTGGAGGGCAAGCGGCTGAACAATTGGTGGAACCGACGTGTGGAGGAAGTGCAGATGAATGAGATTTCAGGTCTCAAAGGTTCCTACTTGGAATTGTTGGAGAGGATTGATAAGAGGAGGACAGAAACAAGGAGCCATGGAAATAATAGTGCATGTATTCCTTCTTCTTCTTCATCTGGTGTTGCTGGACAATCGCAAAATATGGCACCGATGAATTTGATTCAGAATTATCCAATAGGTGATGGAATAGAGGATGCACTTGATCATCTATTATCCTCCCCTGAACCCCCTCCTGCCGATGCTTTTGACTCCAATCCCTAGTCAATCTTGGAAGATATAAGTCTTTAATAATATTGTTTAGTTTTCTTCTATGTCGAGCATAAAACAGAGTTATGTGATTTTAATAATGGTTTTTTTTTTTCAAATGAATGTTATACAAGTGGAATGAAAATTTTAATGCGTATTTTTTATTATGAATTTAGGAATTGGTAAGTTTTTTCTTTTTTATATTCCGCGATATTCTAAATTATAGATAAGATGAGGAGGAAAATATGAAATGAAGGGGGGAAAAACCAAACGTGGAAATATGTTTAAAGGAAAGAAAAAAGGATAAGGATGGAAAATAAAATCACATCTTATCGCCTTTTTCATTTTTTATTACTGAAAATTACATTTATAGTAAATCCATATTTTGGGGATGTATTAATGGGTGATGAAAAATTCGTATATAAGAGCAAGAAAAAGAATACAATAAAGACATTGCGCATATAAAAATTGTGAAAACCTCGGTCAATTAGGGCGATCCGATTAGACTGAAGTAAACTATCGATCATTAGTATAAGTAAGCATTGATTCAGTTCATACAAAATCAAATCAAATTGGGAGAAGTTATCTCTCTCCAATGGCCAGTTAGTGAGATGGTTATGCAACGTTTTGTTACTAATTGGATCTGCTCCGTATGAAATATGCAATTGCTTTGTTTAGCTTCCATATTTCAGGAAAGGAGTCTTCGTGTACGTATGGAAGGATTTTGAAAGAAGAAGAACGAGACTATAAGAAGGAGAAGAAAAGTGTGGTTGAGAAAATAATCAGAGAAAGCTTCATGTTGAGAGAACAAACGTCTCTAGGTTGTCAACCGCGAGAAAGTAGGTAGTGCTTTATGAGATTGATTGATAGTATGATTTATTAATCTTGATCCAAGTGAGTTCGAGCTAGGGTAGTAGAGAGGTTAGAAGCTTTATATTCTTCGCAATTGTTAAGAGTTTGACTCTCAGCCAAAGAGAATCACATTGTGGTCAGAGCATAGGTCTCAAGGGAAAGCCTCCCTTGAACGGAAAAGTAACGCATGCACAAATCTCGGTAACAAATATCGCGTGTTCTTTTACATTATCGCACTTATTTCGATTGTTGATTATCCTCGATTTTCTTAATTTGTCCCAAATCACAATCGAAAAAATCATCCGCCTCAAGTACAATTATTTCATTCCCCCATTCCAAATCCAACATAGGATTCCTAACTCACATGTGAATCAGTCGCCTTCACCGATTTGAAATACATGACTTTGGTAGCCTTTCAATAAGTCCCAACATTGATTACATCATATCTGTCTTCCCCTGTTCGGATATAGGAGCAGAAGCCAGCAACATATACTGATATACAAGAATCATCCCCAGCCCCAAATTATTAACGAGTAATTTGACGTCTCTGTCGCTTTGAATCTGATGCTCATCTGCCTTTATAACTTGTCGGCAGAAAACCGAACGACGGGACGTCGGAGCAAAGCGAATTAATCTGATAGCCCCAAATGATTTGGTTTTGCTTCTGTAGCAATATTTGCTTTTTCCCCCCTCCGAAATGAATCCTCTTGGACCCCACGTACGAAATTCGTGGCTTGAGCCTTCCTTTCCCAGTATACATATTGTAACAGTTGGTCGTTAAAGTGGGGTTTCGTGATATAGCGACCAAGCAGATTGTGGAGAGAGAGAGAGAGAGAGAGAGAGGACAAAGAAGGAAGCGGCGGAGCTTTTAGACTTTTCTGGCTCGCCAAAGCCAGCGGGCGCCGGTCCCCCGACAACGGGTCACGCTATGTTCTTCCTTTTTGACTATCTCGCTAAGCTGATCTATTATCTCCATTAAACAGCTAAACGCCCAAAACCAATCCTTTCGTGACGGCCTAGCAGAATTATAATATAAGGAGCTTTCATTTTCATCCTTATGATAAAAAATGCAAGCTCACTTAGTGATTGTTGTTTGCTGTGGCTGGACCCGTGTGGGGGACAGTGCATGTGGATCATTTTGGGCTTCCCATGGATCGGAGTGTGTCAGTGACGGACAAAGTATATTGAAGTTGACTGTCATGTGATTAGCTCAACTAATTAGTTAGCTGAGTTAGTGTTCAAACTTTTCGCTACTTGAAGATTGATTTGGCTAAGCAAGGAAATCAAACTTTCATATAGTATTACACTTCTCTTAAGCTACCGTGGGATGAACACCAAAGCTATTTACAAATACCACACTGTGATTGTGTTGCTGTGACTTATGAGACTGTATGAAATATCAAGAGCAAGGAAAAGTGATTATTAGGTCTGAATGAGAAATATCAATAGGTTAAGACACAGATGTTAATGATAGATCATATGTCAGATCTAGACAATGTTTATAGTTCTATTGTCCAATTGGAAAGATAGATTAATGGAGCTAATGCAAATGCAGGCAAATCAAAAGAAGTTATTGCTCTTGCTGTAGCACTAGCTGCTCCCAGGAATAAGTTGGCATTGTCCAAGGACAAGGGGCCTAAGGAAAATAATGAGGAAGGACTTTTATGTCGTTATTGCAAAAAGGATAACTATGTTATCTAAGATTATTGGAAGCTTAACAAAAAATGCGGAGGAAATGTTTTTGGTGAATTTGTTGATGTGAACACAGGAGAGTGGAACAACAATAGAGCAAGTCCTTCATATGTATTCATAGAATCAAATAGTGTTCACATGATTCATACCATAAGATCTTAATAGGCTTCAGAGTTTTCTTCAAGGCTCACGTCAGCATCAATCACTTCCTCTGTTATCTTAGGCCAATTTAGTTGTAGCAATAACATGTATGACTTCCTATTTTGTTTCAAAGGGAACTAGTGAAGGTAGTGTTGGCACCTAGACACTAGAACCAGTGACCATATTATATATTCAATTGACTTGTTTCTTAGATGTAAAGAAGTTAGAAACATGTTTGTAACCCTGCCCTATGGACATCAAGTCATAGTGACACATATAAGATAGTCAAATTGTATTGTAGACTATTTCTCACAAATGTCTTGATAGTACCTTCCTTCAGCTACAATTTTATTTTCATTATCCAACGTACAAAGAACAACCTTATCTCCCTTCTTTTCAATCCACCTTTTGTTGTGTTCGAGACTTCATATCTCAACAAAAGATTGATTTGATCCACGTAGATAGAGGGTTATACTTACTTGGAGAAGACAATTCACTTTGAGAGACTTACTACCCACACATTCTTGGAGTGAGCACTAGTCAAAGTTCAAGTTCTGAGTTGCGACATGCCAGACTTGGACATTTGTCTTTACCTAGATTACAGACTATTAAAAATAAATCCGGTGAAGTATTTTTGGCAGACAATGTTGATTGTGAAATTTGCCATTTGGTTAAATAGAAGAGGTTACCCTTTGGTAAGAGTGCATTTGTTGATAAGGTTGAATTTGCTGTAGTTCATGTCGACATGGGGACCAGTTGAGATTGTTTCACACGATGGTTTTACATACTTTCTCATTGTGGTGGACAAATTTAGTAGAAGCACCTGGTTGTTTTTTAATGAGCCAACAGTCTTAAGCAAGAGACTTGTTACAGTCTTTTCATAAAATGGCGAGAACAAGGTCGGAGTTCCGGTATGAGATTGGGTGCCAGAGTTCCCCTTGCATGGAGGCGAGAGCGTAGGTGAATCGTCAGCCGATGTCTCTGTTTCTCAGATTTGTGGTCGTCAGAGCATAGAGTGAAATAGAGTGAAGGCAATTTGGATGGTTTGTGAGAGGGTGGGTGAGTCACTCGTGATGTAGAGTAACATCAAGGCAATTAGGGGTTTAAGGTTAGGAAATGATAAGAGTGGGTGGGTGGGTTTCAGGGGCTATCAGCGGGTTGGTCTGGAAATTCGGGTTGGGTTGGGGGATTGGGTCTGGGCTGGGGGTATTTTATGGTGGGTTTTAAGATTTTTTTTTCGTTTTTGCGATTTTAACCGAATCGGACAATACTTGTTTTAGAGTATCCACATCAATGGGATTGCAAAGTCAATTGCATTTGTTTTTTATAGTGATACCTTATAATTTTTGCAATCCAACTTATTTAAATTTCATTGCTCCTACATCAATGATATTCATTTGCGAACACAGCTAAAGCACTTGCGCCATGATTTGGTGGGATGGGCTAGCAAAGGAACCCCAAACTCGGCAAGGCAAATACGTGAACTTTGGACGAATATTGAAGAAGCGAGAGAGAGTCTGGTAGTAGATTGGGACCACATTAAGACGCTTGAAGGCCAGCTGGGAGTTGCCTACCAACAAGAGGAAGCATACTGGAAACAGATATCCAGGGTGGGATGGCTTCATAAGGGTGATGTCAATACAGGATTCTTTCATCCCACAATGATGCAGCGATGCCGGGGGGAACGCCATCTTATCTTTGTGTGATGATGAAGGAATTGTGCATACACAAGAAGATGCAAAAGCGAATGTGGCAATTACGTTCTATCAACACCTGTTCACTTCTTATGTTTCTGACCTAAGAGCCTTTGTGAGACGATTAGGGCTGCCAAGAGTGGTGGATGATAGCATGAACGAAGCACTTACAGCATCGGTCACCAATGAGGAGATACAGCGGGTTTTCAGCATTGGGAAAACTCAAACCCCGAGATCTGATGGCTTCACGACAGCCTTCTTCCAATGATTTTGGGTGAATATAGAAGTTTATGTTTGTGTTGCAGTTCTAAATTTCTTCAGTTCTGGCCAATTGCTTCGCAGCATCAACCATACGTGGCTCGCATTGATTCCGAAAGTGCCTAATGTAGACACTATGCGCTAGATGAGACCAATGAGATTGTGCCAGGTTTTGTACAAGATTATAGCAAAAATTCTTGCAGCCCGGTTGAGTAATATGTTGCCTATTATAGTTAGTCCTTTCCAGAATGGATTCATAAAGGGTAGAGCTATTACTGACAAATTTTTAATTGCTCAAGAGATTATGCAGTTCTTGAAGATTAAGGTTCAGGATAAAGAAAAGTGGATGGCACTAAAGCTTGATGACATGGAGAAAGCCTACGACCGGGTGGAATGAAGCTTCATGTTTGCAGTTTTGGAAGAAATGGGATTCACTCAAGAGCTGGCTGCGATGGATCATATATTGCGTCACCACAGTCAATTTTTTGGTGCTCATGAACGGGGTAGAGTTTGGATACTTTCTACCGCAGCGAGGTATATGACAAGGTGACGCTTTATCCCCTCTCCTGTTTGCCTTGTACTCATAAGCTTTTTTGCGAAAATTCTTTTTGAACTTGCCTCATCCTCTCTTCATGGGTTATGAGTCCACAAACTAGCTTCGGTTACTTCTCATCTTTTCTTTACCGATGATACTTACTTATTCAAACGTGCGTCCATTCCTGAATGTGCTAACCTTCTTTATATGCTTACTGAATAAGAATCAATGAGTGGAAATCGTGTGAATTTGGATAAATCTACAGTTTGTGTGAGCAATAATGTTTCAGATGCGGACCTCGACGCTATTACAAAGATGGGCGTCGGCGATAAGTATCTTGGATTACCCTCTCAAGTCCGGGGATAAAAAAAACAATGGCCTTCCAGTTTGTTGAGGAACCTTTGGCGAACCGGATTAGGAGCTGGAAATCAAAAAAATTGTCACTGACCGGGAAGGAATTCGTTATTAAAGCTGTGGGTTCAGCAGGACCAATGTATGCGATGTCCTCATTTCGACTTCCTTCTTTAACTTGTCATCGATGCAATAGTCTGCTTTCGAGATTCTCGTGGGCAGGGAAAGATAAAGAGAACGGGATTAGATGGATCTCATGGACAGTAGCATGCCAAATTAAGTTTGAAGGCGGATTGGGCTTTCGAGACTTTGATCGGTTTAATGTTGGTTTGCTTGCGAACAGGCTTGGAGGATTCTTAAGCACCCGGAGAGTGGCCTATGGAGATTATACAAGGCAAGGTATCATCCCCATCACCACTTCCTTGATGCTAAACCTGGCTCAAGGCCGTCATGGGTTTGGCAAGGAATCTTATAAGGACGAGATCTACTTAAACGTGGCCTTAGGTGGCAAGTTGGATCTGGAGCTTCTATTCAAGTCTTAGAAGATTGTTGGTTGCCGACATCTCCCCCATCAAGACCTTCCCTTCAGCCTCTCAACTCAGAAGTTCCACGGACTGTGAATGAATTAATCTGCAGTGAAACTCGAACTTTGAAAAAGGAGATAATCTGTAGACTGTTCACTTGAGAGTCAGCCAAGGCCATTCTTGGGATCCCGCTTCCTTTACATTTGACCGAGGATCATCTAATATGGCATTATTCGAAGTTAGGGGAATATTCGGTAAAATCGGATATCATGTTTTAACTAATGAGCTTAACTTACGACATCCCCCAGCTACTTTACCTTTTGACTGCAGGTTCTGGAAAGTAATGTGGAACCTCCCGACTCCACCTAAGTTGAAGATCTTCTTTTGGTGTCTTGTCTCTGGTTTCCTCTCATTGCAAACAGTGTTGTTTGACAAGAAGCTTGTGCCAAATATGGTCTGCACGGTTTGTTCAGATGGCCTGGAATCATTCTCACACTGCTTCTTCCAGTGCATAATAGCGAAGGGACTGTGGCAGCTAGCTGGACGAGATGGCATAAGAGGCCGACTGGAGACTCTTGATCCGACCGATGCTTGGAAATCTTTGTTCTTCTCTTTACATCTATCTAAAGTGCAGATTGTCGAGATCGTCTTCTTGTGTTGGCGAGTATGGAAAGGAAGGTGTTGGGATGTCCATGGGGAATCCAATACCTTTCTCCTGCTCTATGTCGTCAATTCCACTCACAAATGGAGGAGTGGCGGGATGCTACACAAGCTCAAGCACAACCACCCTTTACCGATCACCCTACGTCTGCTGCCACAAGGGTGATGGCTCGCCCATCGTTGGGTGGAACTCTCCATTCCACATCAGCTAGAATGCCCTCGTCTCCATATGCTATTGTCACTGTACGGTTTGACGGATCAATCAAAAAAGACCAGGGAGTTAGAACTGGCTTCGTGGGATTTGACCATTCGGGTGCTATCCTTTTCGGGTTCGGTAAGTACTATGACGGAATTCAAGATCCTTTTATTATGGAATTATTGGCCTTGCGTGATGCTATGAACTGGTGTCTAACCCGAAATTTTCTTTCTGTCAAATTTTGTGGGGATTCCCAATTGGTTGTTCGGCGTCTGCTGGCGGGTGATACATTGCACGACTTGGGAGGAGCCATCATGGATGACATTCAATGCTTAGTCGTGAACTGTGATTTATGTTCTTGTTTATTTGCTCCTCGGCATTTTAATAGAGTTGCTCATCTTGTGGCTAAACAAGCTCTGCCATTGGAAGTTCGGCTATTGGTCGACTTCCGCCCTTGGTTGGACTCTGATCTCTGACTTTGTGATTGGACTTTTGTTCGATTTGTCTATGTTAAAAATAAACAAATAAATAAATAAAATAACTCTTTCTCTAAATTGGATTGGAGCAATCTGATATCTGGTTGCAACCTAATCTATGTATACGGTTCGATTTTCAATTTAATCTTAAAAACCTAAACCGAATTGTCAATCCTAATCATACACATCGTAAGGCGAGTATTTCAAAACAAATCAAACAATTAGGATAAAACTTTCTTCTTACAAAAAGGACCCTAGAGGGCAAACAAAACCAAAGACAAAGAGTGACCAAATTAAAGCTTAGGTAGAGAGAGCAGAGCACACAGCATCTGGATCCCCTTCCCTTCCCCCTTTACCCGTGTTCCTCCTTTAAAGCGCAAAATCAGAGTCCCTTCTCCTTTACTGTTGTCGTCTAGAATCCAAAGCCCTCGCCCTCTGGTTACGTTGAGCAGGAAGCCAGCCACAAGTTCCCCCCGGCCCGAGGGAGAAGGATCCAAAGGAATTATCTCTCCCCTCTTTGCCCATCATCAAGTGAGGGACCAGCTGAGAAGCTTTCTGCTGCATCAAGAGAGAGACTGAAACAGAGGCGGATCCACATTCCCCTCCCGAGGAAAATGCTCTGTTCCACGGCGCCGGTGATGGCGACCAAGCTGCTGGCCGTCTACGCAGCATTTCTGACAATTGGCCTCCGGCCAACGACGTCAGCCAGAGAATTGCGCCCGTCGTACCACGGGCTAGGGTACTACCACCAGCAGCAGAGCACTACTTCTCCATTTGTGAGGCAGAGGCCGTCGCCGGAGATGAAGTCGTTCTTCAACGTGCCACCGTCGCTGAAATCCTCATCGTCACCGAGCTCCTCCGTCGCTTCGCCGTCGGTGGGGCTGCCAAGGGCAATGAACACGAGCGACGAGGCGTGGTGGCGGAGCGTGAGCGGGTGGAAGTCGGAAGATCGGGTGAGGAAGGCCCTGCTGATCGGGAGCGTCGCGTGCGGAGTCGCCGGCGTGGTTCTGCTGGTCGCTTCCATCGCCGTCTATCTGGTGAAGCGGCGAGCACTGAGACGATCGTCGGCGGCGGCATTAATGGGTTCATCAGCAGCTCCCAGTACGACCAATTCCACCCCCAACAACAACATCAATGTTTCCACCCTCGCCATTGTCCCCAAACTCACCACCGATCAGAAGTAATTGTTTCAATCACTGTTTTAACCTCTGTAATCGTCGCTGAATTGATTCGGGTCCACTGTACATGTTTGATTAACAGAAGAAAGTTTTAATCTTTTTTGGTTTCTTATGATCCATCTTCTTTCTAAAGGCGAATTCAGTTACAGGTTCTTTCGGGTGATGTGTAAGTGAGTTTATTTCCTTATCCGGTAAGGAAATCATATATATTAGCTAATAATTAGTTGGTATTATTAGTGAACAGAGACTCATATTTGATGATTTGTCTCCCCTTGGCATTGGCAACCAGTGGGATTGTGGGACAGTTGGCCCTTTAAATTAAGACCGTTCAGAGTTCCACCCACTCCCTGTAGGACCCTAACTAGCTTGGTCTCTCCACCAGCTGTAAAAGGTGCCCGTATTTTCCTTAACTCATACGAAATTCCAAACCCACTTTCTAAAGAAAAGTTTGTTCCAAAAGTTCTTCCAATTGGGAGTAAGGCTTCCTTTACTTTAAGTTTTCATCGTCGTGATAATTCGAGTTGTTAAGAAACTTTTTTTTTTTTTTCATGACACCGATTATAGACGTAAAGTTCGAGGACAAGTCGATCATATATAATGTGGCATGTGCTATGTATGATCAAATAAATATATGAAACTGGGTAGGACAAATAAATATACATGGCCAATGCAGTTAACACGAAAATTGGAAAAAGGGAAAGGAGAAGGAAAACCACACAATAGTACAAGTCTTCTCATGGATTCATCAACTGTCCAAAACGATGAACTTCACCAGCTTCTTTCCTTTCCTTTCTTCTTTGTCCAGAATAAGAATGCATGAATGTAGATAATATATGTACTTTTGCTTTATTGCTCCAGAGACAACCACTCTAACTCTAGTTCTAACTCCCCAGATTCTACGTTCTGGAGCTTGAAAAACACTTGTTGCTTCACCTTCCCATCCACGATGTTTATTGTGCTATCGTCCATGAGAGCATTGTCGTCTGATTTCAACCACTTCCCGATCTGCATGTTCCCAAACATCTCCGGGTCCCCATATGCCATCGCGGAGTTTATCAATGGATGCAAGTCGATCTCTGCCTCCCCCATTATGTCATCAGCAGAAAACGTGTCGTAGTCAAACACTTGCTGCAGTTTTTTGGGCAGCAAAACATGTTTTCGTTAGAGACCTACAATGCTCTCTCTCTCTCTCTCTCTCTCTCTACTTTGGCTTTCGTCATCGAGGAAGGGAGGAAATGCTTACCAACTTCACAGTACCATAGTCTTGTGGAACTGAGAGCATGAGTTCCTCATCCCATACTGGATTCAGGTTGCTCCTAACTACAGTGGTCTGGACAGTCTAGCAAACATGAAAACACAGTTTCAAGAAGTCAAAAAATTAGCGAGAAAGAAACAAGGTCGTGTGAAGCTTAACTTTACCAACCTGTTTACCGAGATTGAGAATGACATAAGGATCGCTTGACAACATGTCTCTGACAGCCAAGTTTGTACCCTTCACAACCTTCACCTTCAGTAAACCTATGAATTCTACCATGCCATCCTGAAGGCAGGGCTGTCAGAGTTAATTCAACTGAACATAATTGTCACAACAAACGAACTAGTCTTTGTTACTGAATTTCCAAATCGAACTCAATTACTAGAGTCTAGAATGCAACAGAACGTGAATTCTAATGAGGTTACGTCAAACCATCAAGTATGACTTTTCAGAGGGTATTGGTCCTCAATAACAAACCGTTTGTTGAAGCTGAGTAACAGGTTTAGCTTTCACAATCCCAGTAAAGTGAACTTCTAAGTTCTATGGACCTCCATTTAAAGGGGGAGGGGGAACTCATATTGTTACTTAAACCTTGAGAAAAATAAAGGCAGAATGACGATTACCGTAGCTTCACTTGCGGTTCGGAATGTATCGATTATCCTCCTAGAAAAGCTTAACTGGGCAGATACAGCAGACTTTCCTGATGACATTCGCAAGCTAGGCTTCATAAAATCTTGAAGCTCATACTTAGATCTGCGTCAAATCAATGAAAAGGATTTATCAATGATGTCGTTTTATGGGGTGTATCTGAGAGGATAAATTTGCAAGCAATCTACGCGTCGAAGTTATGCAACTCGTGTACTTTGGGGTATGAAATGAATTATTTGGAAATGCACTCGAGAAAAATGGGAGTGTCGTGCATATTTCCAACTCTCCTCCACAAATGCACTTAGCCAAACAAAATCTTTAACAAACACACTGACATAATAACATGCAGATGATGAAACACACACACAAATAATAATTGAGTACCAACTACAATAGATCTTCACCACACACTCCCAAATTGCATATTTGGATCTATCCCTCAAACTCACCATTTATGGATAAAATACTGAGATCAAGACAACAAGATCAAAATGTAATAGCAAACTGAACGCAGCAGGATGGAGATAAATAATGTATGGGATGGATTATGCAACTTGTCTATCCATACTCAGGGCATCTTTACCTGATGAATTTTGAACGCTCATCGTGACTGGCATCCGGCTTAGGCTTTGATAGACCGTCAGGTATTTGAGCCTCATAAATTGAATTAACAGCCGCATTCCCACCAACTTCAGACATGGAATCAATTTCTTCCTCCGTCCAGTCATCCAGTGTCACTGACAACACCTGCACGCTCCAATTAAAGTTGCATCAGGAACAGTTCAACCGGAAGAAAAAGAAGTTACATCAAGAGCATAAAATAATATGAAATAGAGGAGAGTATACGAAAAACCAAGGCCATGAGATAAAGTAATTTCAGAGCATAAACATAACAACACATGATATGCAAGCAGACACTCAAAGTTGCATGGACACATGCTAACACAGGTGAGGTCAACTGAAGTTATATCCAATCATATTGTCAGTCCAGGTTACTTTAGCTTGCTTACCTTTGAGATATGGGTACCAAGGCTTCGGTGTACACTGCAACATTTTAAGCAGAGGAAGACTCCAATATTTGCAGACCTACATAATAATATTGGAACCAGTTTCTCAATCAAAGGGCCTATCACAGACTTGTACACGAAATCCGGTACTATGGGCTTCATCTTGTCTACTTAAGAGTCATTAGAAGCAAAAAAAAGTTTTCGTGTTTGGATACTTCTAGAAAGAGGGTTCTTAAACTTACGCCCATTTAGGATCTGGTGCACCACAATCAGCACACACCCGGTTATCAGTTTGTTGCTGCAAATCTCTTAACTTTCTCCTAGCTTCGAAAGCAAAAAGTATCAACGGGCAGTTAGCTATGAGCTAACATAATATAACAGACAGTGAAATGAAAATATCACACAGAAGCGAGAATGAGATATGTTAGGCTGTTTAGGGAAAGATAGCAGCGTCGCAAGTTCAGCAACCTAAAACCTATAGGCTCTAGCATTCATCGACAACGAACAAGAGGTTAAAACACTCGCTTATTTGTGTATTAATTACAGAAGGAACATAACGTACTATATTGATTATCTATGCATTCATTAAAGAGGACAGATGAGACTGAGCTTCGGGAAAAGGTTCAAGAAGTTCAATGTGTTAATTACAGAAGGAACTGAATGTACTATATTGATCTTATCGATGCATGCATTAAAGGAGGACAAATGAGACTGAAGCTTCGAGAAAGGTTCGAGAAATTCAATCATGATCACAAAAGATTCCTTTTACTTAGCCACTTCAAACATCTCCATGACTGCAGCAGATCAACTAACAATTGAAGTATTGGGGACGAAAGGAACAATAATTTCCTGACTCTCACAAGGAGCACTATACAGGATGCATACTGTACAAAGCAAGCATATACCTGAGGGGTTTTTCTGAAGTTCTGTCAAACGGCTCATTGCTTTGCTGATATCCAAAGATCATCCAACAAAGCCTGTGTCTGGTGCGCAAGAAAAGGTTAAGCAGCAGCATCCACAAAGCATAGCATACAGAGAGAAAGAGTAAGTGAAAAAGCAAAGGAAGGACAATGATACAAGACTTGGTACGATATCCACCATGGAATAATCAAGAACTAAGCTTTAGGAACACAGTTTGATCTATTGAGGACATCTGAAGCCACTGTCCAATCCGAGAGGAAATTGAGTACCAAAATTTAGAGTATCATGCTAAACCTAACAAATTATGACATGAAAGACGCAATTTATATCTTGATTTTAGGGTCTCTCGAAGCAGGATCCTGGTCTTCTGCTGCTAATTGGGTCTCAAAAGAGGTGCAAAAGCCAGAGAAATTAACCGGGAACTTACATTTCTTCCCCTTTACGAAACAACCCAAGGAAGCACAATCCAAAAGATTGCAACTTTGGGAATCTTCCCATTTAAGTGCAATTCGCCAGCTCTCAACCAACCCAACCCAGAATTCAGATTCCATAATCCCATGCATGAAAAATGCGATCATTTCCCTATATTCGCTAATGATCGATCATAAACTTAACAAAAGCAAAGGAAAGGCTCGTCGGCAAAAGGCATCAGAAAGCAAAAGCAAGATTTTGCATTTCCAACAAGGCAACCACCCATCTAAATCCATCCAGTCACCGGCAATGCAACAAAGGTGGTCGACACTTTTCGTTTTCTCATTCCAGGGGAGGGGAGAACGGGATACAGCATAAAACACGAAATGGGTAACGATGAGAGAAAACAAATTGCAAAACGGAAGGCAAGGAGGAGAAATAAGCTGACCTGAGAAATTCCCGGCGGCGAAATCCCAATGTCTGACTAGAGAATTAGGTCGCGTTCCAGGGCAAACTTGTTTTGGCGCCTGTTCATCCGGCCGGGGGAAGAGGAGAGAGAGATGGTGAAGAAGAAGGAAACGATTACGGGAAATGTGCAGCGGGGTTGCTTTCAGATATGGGAAAGGGGAAATGGACCACCACAATCTTTCAATCTGCGCTATGCATTTGACGAACTTTTGGAGAATGGTACGGGCCAGAAGAAGGCAAGGTTGGATTGCTTGTTTCGATTAATGATGCCAAATTATCATTTGGTTTTTCTTCTAAAATGTTACAATTGGTCACTACAAATATTTAATACGATTCGTGGTCACTGAAACTAGTTCAATAGTTCAAGTTTGGTCACTCTCCGTTAGTCTCCATTAATTTTTGTTAATGTGTTAGTGAACCTTTATAGTTGACCGTTACATAAATGATGTGGCAACTATAAATTAATAAAAAAATTAATAATTTAAATTTTTCACATCATTTCCATAACTAAAAAGGTAAAACTTATATCTATAATTCCCTACACCAAATCGAGGTGGAGGCTGGACTGCTGGGAAAAAAAATCCCAAAATATACATGTTTTTTAAAAAAAAATTCCAAAATACACACGTTATAAAAAAATTTCCCAAAATACACATGTTTGGGCATCACCGCTGTTGTCAACCGCAGTGAATGCATTCACCGCGGCAGACCAAAGCGGTGAATGCATCACCGCGGTTGGCGGCCGCGGTGAATGCCTGACGTAACACTGAAACTTCAAACAAACGTAACTTTGCGTTTGGTTATCTGAAAGAAGACTTTATCCCCAAAAAAAATCATTTGCTACCCCGAACGAGCAAATTTTCGATTTTGACAAACTTTGGAAAATCATAACTCTGTGCTCCACAATCCGAATGTCATGAAACTTTTTTTGATTTTGCATAACTTTTGAAGTACTACAACTTTGATTATAACCATAATTTTGGAAAGTATGTGGATTTGTGAAAAGTAAAGGCAAAGTTATTCCAAAAATCCCGTATACCCAAAAATACTTCTTTTTTAAAAAATTATTTCCTAGTCAAAGTTGTAGTTCTTAAAAAGTTACGCGCAATCAAAAAAACTTTACGACGTTCGGATTGAGGAGCTAAAAGTTATGTCCTTCCAAAGTTTGAAAAAATCGAAAAATTGCTCGTTCGGGGTAACAAACGACATTTTTTTTTAGATGAAGTCTTCTTGCAGATTGAAAGATTTTGAAAAGTTATATGGAATCAAAAAAAAATTCGCTACAATCGGATAACCGAGCGTAAAGTTACATTTGTTTGAAGTTTCAGTGTTAAGTCGAGCATTCACCGCGGCCGTCAACCGCGGTGATGCATTCACCGCTTTGGTCTGTCGCGGTGAATGCTTTCACTGCGGTTGACAACAGCGGTGATGCCCAAACATGTGTATTTTGGGAATTTTTTTTTATAACGTGTGTATTTTGAGAATTTCTTTTAAAAACATGTGTATTTTTGGAATTCGTCCGACTGCTGGAGAGGGACAACAACCCTTCCCCTATAAGTTGGATTTCCTTTGCTGGAATATGGTTGAATCCCCCTTCAACCTTCACGGCGTCTTCTACGAGCGTTGCACCTCTCCTGCTGATGATACCTATGAGCTCAGGATCACCACTCACCAGGCTGGTTTCGGCACCCTCGCGTCGACAATCAGCCGGCTCAATGAGCTCAAAGAGCTCTCCCTTCCCAACAACCATCTCGCCGATTTGCGGCTCTACCGGCAGTGGACGCCTCTGCCAATTGCGGTTGTCGGTTTCTCTTTTTGCTCTCTGCCTTTTGCAACTCTTGAGATGCTTTTCTGGTCCCTTCAGATCTGTTCTCCTTGCTCAATGTCCACGGATCTTCCCAATTGATTCCCTCTCTCTTACTCTCCCTAACTGAGCATTCCTTTTAGTTTTGTTGCCTTCTCTGTTTCTTTTTCCTTGGGTCCGTTAATTGTCGGCGTCGGTGCCGCTGATGAGCGATGGTAGTTCTGATCGGAAGAGTCGGCTGGCGCTTGAATAACTACCACCTGTTGGCTGGTGTGGAGGCTTTTTCTTATCCTTTTCCTGAAGGATGTGTTGTAGCGGTGGAAACGACTGAGTGAGAGAGGTGCGATTGTCGAAGGGGAGGGATATGAGAAAGAAGAGAGTAGAGTTTGAGTTTGGTTGTCAAGGGGGAAATTGAGCATTCCTTTACAGTTCTAGCAGTTCCAATTTTTTCGAGTGGCTTCTTTTGTAAGTTTTTCTTGAGCTGGAACGGCACCGCAACTCGCTGACGCCCGTGGAGCAGGGTCTGTGGCCGGAACCGGAGCATGGGTTCGTCGCCAATCCCTCTCTCTACCACCGTTTTCGAATTCCCCTCCCATTCTTCTTCAGCCTACCGCTTCTTGATTTAGGAAAGGGGTGTGATATTTGTATTCCAACCAACGCAGGACCTGTCACCGCCGAAGATCGCGATCTGGGTTTCATGGGTTTTGGGACTTTCGGAGCTCCGGCGCCACACCAAACTTTGGCGGTCGGAATATCATTCGTTTCTTATCGAAAAAGTTAATCTGCTCACAAGGTGTTTTGTGAGTAGATACTCACAAGGCCCAGATTTGTCCACATATGCCCAGTTCTAATCTAAGGGTGAGGAGGTCAGCTCAGCCATGACTCATTTAAGTGAGCTATTTGTAGGCTTTTTTGCATAAGCCGGCCCAGCCGATCGAGCTGAAAAAGGTGGATTGGGTCCACCTTTGATTTGGGCGGGATTGAGAGAGGGAGCCGCTGAGATAACTCGTATCCAGCCGAGACAAATAAATATCCAAAAGTGCACGAACTAATATCCGTCTGAGTTGACAAAAGAGAGAGAAAAGCATGGCCCGCCATATGCTACTTTTGTTGCTTTTGATAAATTTTCACATGTGAGAGATCTTGAGTATTTAATGCTACCCATCAACTATTCTCACATGAAATAGAGAAATCAACCCGGATTAATATTCATATCGTCCAATCTAGTATTCATCCTTAACCAAAATATTATCCATGGGCCGAAGGAAATTAGTTTATATGGTCGGATATTAGTCTGGGCGGTATGGATATTTATTTTCGCATGAACTGATATTATATGCGATGAATATTAGTTTGTGAATTAATTGTGTCTTCCATCAAAACTAAACACACTATCAAGTCCTAACACATAAGGCTTGCAACCTTAGTTAGGGCTGCCCGCCGAGGGCCTATTGGTCGAAGGCCAATGAATCAATAGTAGTAGGAGAGTGAGTGTCTTCCAGACCTTTATATTAGTTCGTTTGTGATTTCATATATTAGTTTATGTGATTGGATATTAGTTAGGTTGTCAAGGATATTTGTTCGTTAAAGAGTGGATATTATTTCTAGTGTGGATGGATGTTAGTCTGGGAGTCACGAATATTTGTTCGAGAAAGAACATATATTTGTTATGGGGTGAATGGTTATTTGTATGGACGATATGGATGTTTGTCTGAGGATGAAGATAACACCGAGAAAACCATCCGAAAATGAAGTTTTTTTTTGTCATGGTAGGTCTGATATTAGTCTGTTTATGATTTCAGATATTAATTTAAGTGGCTGGATATTAGTCAGGGTGTCAATGATATTTGTTCGCCCAAGGATGGATATTGTATCTGGAATGGATGGATGTTAGTCTGGGCGAAACCGATATTTGCTCGATAAAGGACATATATTTGTTTTGGGGTGAATGGGTATTTGTTCTATAGAGGACGGATATTAGTTTTTGCCTGTTATCTAACAAAATATTAGTTTTGCGTGATAATATTTTTTGTTTCCTTTATTTGGATATTAGTCTGCATGGTTGTTCCTATTAGACCTTCTGATTAATAAAATTCGCGCTTGCCCAAAAGAGTATCCATCCTCCTTTTACATCACAAAGCTAATGTTTATTTTTCACCAAAATAATTTCAAAACCCCCCAACTAATTACAACTACATTTAGTTGACCTACTTAGGGTTTAGAGTTTAGGGTTGGTGGTTTAGAACACAATGTATGGTGGTTCGATATTTTGTCTGTGTAGTGAGATATTAGTTTGCGATGGTCAGATATCAGTCTGTGTATTGTGGATATTTGACTGTGATGGCGAGATATTACAGTTTTAATGACTGAATATTGGTTTGAGACAGTGGGATATTAGTTTGGATGGTGTGGATTTTTTTTAGGGTTTAGAGTGAGAGTTGGTTTGGTTTATGATTTAGAAGATGACGTTGTGGAAATGGATATGAACACAATGTAGGGTGATTCGATATCTATCTGTGGTGATAGGATATTATTATGTGATGAGAGGATATTAGTTTTGCTATGTGTGGGTATTTTTCTGTGTAGTGAGTATTAGTTCGCGATAGTCAGATATTAGTTTGTGTGTAGTGGGTATTAGTTTGTGATAGTGAGGATCTTAATTATGGAATGGGATGAGATACGGTGACAACCCCATTCGGGGTTGTGAGATTGACAACCCATTTTATAACCATAGGATTCATTCTCTCTCTTGTCTCTTTCTTATTTTTTTCAAATCAATGGTACAGATTGGATTAAGGGTATTTTTGGACGAAAAAAATTGACCACACTAGATTATTACCCTATTGATACCTAAAACCCTACATTCTCTCTTTCCTCTCTCTCTCTCACGCAATCTTTTTTCTTCCTGTTCTTCTTCTTCTTCCTCCCATCTCTTCCCTCTCTTTCTCACAATTATGCAAACCTTCATCGATCTACTCCTTCTACCACCACCATTACTATCACTATGATTCACCTTGTGAGCCCCCTTCCTGTACTCAGCCACCAGCTCTCCCAAAACCTCCGAATTCCCCATCAAAACCTCGGAGCTCATCTCCAGCACCAACGTCCCGCCTCTCCTCCCTCTCAAACTCAAATTCACGTCAAACGAATCCCCTCCGCCGCCGCCGCCGCCCGGATCCAACCCAAAATGACCCGAACCCGTCCCGAGGCCGCCTCCTGTAACCCGCAGGCCGCAGCCATCGCGGCCTCCTCCTCCCACCACCACCGCCGTCGCAACCATTCCGCCGCCCTCTGTCTCCCACCACCACCGTCACCACGAGGTCACCGCCACTCCCCTTCCTCCCCCTTTCGTCATCCCTGATTTTTTTTTTCAAGTCTGTGATTTTTCATATTTCAGATCTGATTTTTTGTGCTAGTCTCTTGTGGTACGCTACCAGTGGCAATGGTACCGCTACCAGTGGTACTGGTACCGCTACTAGTGGTACTGGTACCGCTACCAGTGGTATTGGTACTGCTAATGGTACCGCTACCAGTGGTATTGGTACTGCTAATGGTACCGCTACCAGTGGTACTGGTACCGCTACTAGTGGTACTGGTACCGCTACCAGTGGTATTGGTACTGCTAATGGTACCGCTACCAGTGGTACTGGTACTGCTACAAGTGGTAATGATATCGTACCACTAGCACTGGTAGCGTACCACTAGCACTGGTACATTTTTTAACGCACTAGTAGCGTACCACTAGCACGGGTATATTAATTACCAGTAGACTAATGTATTGGTACACTTTTAACGCACTGGTACATTTTTTCAGGTTGCCGGAGGGAGTCTGGCGGAGAGAATTCGCCGGAGAAAAAGTCTATCTATCGAAGCGGAGTGGCCGCAGGAGAAAGGAAGAGAGAGAGAGAGATAGATAGAGATATTAATGTATAGGATTTAAATTTCAAAAAAAAATTGTATTTAATATGTGTTTTTAATTCCCAATCTGATTAATACAAAAAAGATAATTAATATATTCCTTTTTTTCATACCCAAAATACCCTTGGTTGTCACCGTATCCGGTCCCTTATGGAATGAATGAATATTGGTATTAGATGGTGGGATATTAGTCTGGGTGGTGTTGATATTTGTTATGGTGAACCAATATTAGTGTGGGTGGTTTGAATATTTGTTTTGTGTGGATGTTTATCTATGTTTGTTTGTGTTGATATTGAGTTTAAACAAATTCATATAAAACAAAGTCGTTTTCGACAAACCACGATACAACTAGTATTAATGCCATTCTAACTTGGCAACCACATAAAAAAGTACAACCACATAAAACAAAAAAGGAATAGTTCAAATGTTTTCTTGCTTGGCCAAACTCTCGATAATCTTTTTGATCATGTCCCTCCGAGCCCTCACGTTTTGATCATGCCACGACGAGGTTGGAATGGTCCTTCTCCTAGCTGTGGTCTCTTTGTTGTTGTTTTAGTTCTTGCATTTGTCCAATATCCCTGGAGCATAGATAAATATCCAGGTATATATCAACTGATATCCCGACCACACAGAACTAATATAAGATAACTATAATCCATACATCCATAGTAATATCCAAACAAACCAAAAAAATATCCACCAATGGCATACCTAATATCAGGCATAATATTTTCAATATCTGGACAACACAGAACTAACATCAAAGAAGTAATATCCATATACAAACGAATAAATATCCAGACATAATATAAGCGAACTAACAGATATCTCAATCGCACATAACTAATATAAGCGAATTAACATCCATATAAGACAAAGAAATATCAAGACAGAGTAAACAAATATACAGCCATCACATAACTAATATCCGAACAATCAATAGAACAATATCCACAGTATAAAAAGTAGTATCCAAAGCATGCTAACTGTTATTCATATTAAACGAACTAATATTCCAGATCTACAAATCAAATCCCAGATCCCAACCGCACAAAATCACAGATCCCCCAAACAAATCCTAGATCTCCCAAATTGAATCTCAGATCCCAAACGCATAGAATCCCATATTCCCCAAATTGAATCACAGATCCCAACCCCTCAGAATCACAGATCTCGAATCCATAAAACCATACAGTCGAATCAATGAATCAAGAGAAAGGACGACATCTACCTCAACAACCTTCTTCTCCTTGCCCTCGCCGTCGTCGTCTTCCTCCCGCTCGGCCGACGCCTTCTTCTTTCAAGCACCGTTACCATCGTCACCAAGCACTGGCGTCTTCTCCTTGCGTTATTGTCTTCTTCCTCGCGGCATCGCCTTTTTCCTTGCAGTCCTCGTCGCCACCGTCATCTTCATCGTAACCCTCGGCGGAGAGATTTTTTGTGAGTTATCGGGAGAGGAAAGGGAAATCTTGTAAAGTCCCGACCTTTTTTTCGAAAAAATCAAACCACAACTCAAACCCAAAACCGATTACTCCGGAGCAACCAAACCACTTTTTAAATAAACAAACTGACATTATTTAAGAAGTTCAAACGAAAAGCCCTAACACTTGGGCCATCAAAATCCAAATACTTAAACAACTTAACCCAGCATCTTGAACCTTGAATCTCCAGTACATATACTCATAATCATAATCATAAAATAACTTTCAAGTTTTAACTCTAACTCTTCACCCAGCTTCTTGACATCTCACCAGTACTGGCACGACCGCTTGCCTCATCTTACTTCTTCTCGGGATCCACTTCCGCTAACCCATCCTCAACCTGGTGAGTGAGAATGGGTCAGTCTCGTCGTTACTTCCTAAGGTCTCTGCCCTTAGAAATCTCCTTACTAAAACACGTTATTAGCGTTTCCTTTCCATAGATGAAAGTCGTTCTCACTTTCATCCTTAATACCTCATTTCAACTTTAACTCATAGAGGTTCTCAACTTTTATCCTTAAATCATAGAAGTTCTCTACCACTACCTTAACTTATATACTTATTACTAGGGAATCACCGCATTACGTATCGCCGCCTGGTGTCCCTATCCTCAAGGCAATGGTACTGCGTTACGTATCGCCGTCCAGTCCATGCCTGGTCAACTACTGCGTTACGTATCGCCGTCCAGTAGTGACCCGACCATCTACTGCGTCCAGTAGTGGCCCAACCGCCCGGGGGTTCATCTTACCATCAACCATACATCACAAACAAACATTCATACATACACAAGCACAACGCGTGCCTCCACCTTAAGTAGGCGGTGAGATGCCTCACACATAATGGCGCTTACTTGAAAATAACAATCATAACTGAATTAAAAGACATAAACGAAAAGACCTTGACGGAGATTTTACCCCCTTTACACTCACCTCATTAGCCGACCTTGATCGATCAAAACGACCCCTCTTTATTGCCGGTTGATCCATGTCATCGTCCGAGATTCCATGCTCAATCATCTTCTTTTGCAATTTCTCCTATTAAGTATTTAGGCAAAACTTAATACTCCTTTCCACAAGCGTAACTAATCAAACGATCCCAAATTTGGTTGATTCCAAAACCAAACTCCTCCATTTAACCTTTCCTGGACCTTCCTTTAAAATTATGGAAAATTACCTTTTTGCCCCAAATGGCAATTTACCAAATAGTACTCGGAATTCCTGGGTCTTATCAATTCGGCTCCAAATTCCCAGAATTGCCCAATTCAGACCTCCATACCAATTTCCACTTTCTGATTTAAACATTTTAGTCCAAACGGCTTATTTTCAATCCGATACCCAAACATCCACTAATTGCAACTCACCCCAAGCCTGGTCAATTACCTTACGGCACCCAAACTTATTAAATTTACCAAATCGCTCCTACACCTAAAAGACGTATACGCCCCTAACTATTCATCAAATTTATTAAACCATGCCCTTGAACTCCAACAAAACGGGAGATTGTTACCTCAATCCCGCCGCCGCCGTCGACCTCCACATCCCGGCCACCATCGAGTTCCTCCTCCGGCTCCGACTCCGGCCCCTCCTCCGGCTCGTCCTCTTCTTCTCCCTCCTCGAACAACCGCGCTCCGTCGACCGTCACCGTGGAAACTCCGCCACCGCCATGCCCATCTCTCTTCCTCGGGCCGCAATTGGGAGGCCAGCTCCGGATCGCAAACACCTTTGGTCGCTTCGGAGGGTACCCCAGCTGCCTCGTCCCTGCACTATCTCCCATTTGTCTGCTGGCGACGTCAACACCAACTCTCGCTACGGCCGCCGTCGACGAGTTCCTGAGTTCCCTCTTGCGTCCGCGGCCTACCATCCTGGTCCGGATCCACCTTCCTTCTCTTCCTGATCGATTCGACCCTTCCATTGCAATTCAAGGTCAATCGTCGCAATCGTCGCCGACCTCCTCTCCCTTTCTTCGGTCGCCCTCTGGTTTGTTCTCCGAAACAGAGAGTGCTTTCCTCTTTAACCCAACTCACTAAGTTTGCCCCTCCGACTCCTCTTGTTTGGAAACAGAACCCTTCCATTTATCCTCCCATTAACGTTCATTACTATGCAATTACCCTCCCCAATTCACCCACATCAATTTCGGCCGTTACCACCCAATAGTCAGATGTTGCTCTGTTTCCCTCCCTCTTCTCGCTTCTGGCCGCTTTCCCAAAGACCCACGAATCTTTTTTTTTATTTCTTTTTTTTATTCAGACCGGCTCTTCCTCCCTTCCACGTCTGATCGACTTCGCCAAGGAGAGGGCGGATCCTCTTCCTCCCCAGACCCACTCCTTCTCTTCCTCTCTCGGGCCTCAGCCCGTTCCCTCACTCTATCTCTCACTCGGGCCAAAGCCCTTCTTCTTTCCTCTTCTTTCATCTGGGCCGGCAGGCCAACCCCGTCCTTCCTTTCCTTCTCCGGGCCGCGAGCCCATTCAGACCCATTCCCTTCCTTTTCCTCTCTTCTCAATCTCCTCCAAACCTCTCACTTAAGCCCACCTCCTCTATATTGCAAATGGGCCGCCCATGACAACCAAACCCAGGCCCACTCAGCCCAACTCTTTAACTTGGTCTTGACCCAAGCTCAACACTTCGTCATTTTACGTCGAAATTCGACACCGTTCGAATCGATGGTTCATGCTTTTAGTCCTCATCAATATTACGGTGAAGCTTGACGAATTAATCCAAGGGTAAAATAGTCATTTTAAAATTTAGAAAGAGCGGGGTGTAACAAATCTTTTGGAGAGGGAAGAGAAATAAAATCAACGTAATGAATAATGATAGAGAGAGAAGAGGAAACTATTGGCAGATTTGGGCCAGCCGAGCCGCAAAAATAATCTCGGCTCTCACCTATCGACGTCAATCATCTCCTCACCCTCAGATCGTGGCTTGTCCTCGTGGACCTTCAAGGCCGTGTGAGTGAATTAAAAAGATTAAATTTTATTTTTTAATTCTTTTTTAATAGTCATGTCACTCTACGGTCAATTATGAAGGTTGACTACCACATTAGCAAAAGTCAACGGAGAGTGACCAAACTTGAACTATTGAACTAATCTCAGAAATCATGAATGTAGTTAAATATTTATAGTGACCAAATGTGAACGTTTTTAGTAAACTCAGTGAACAAACTTGTAATTTACCCATTTTCTTTTGGACATTTTCCCTCCATATCCAAATTGCAAAGATTCGATCTTTCTAAAACAGTCCCGCTCGGATACGCAAAATCGTTGAATCACTTCTTCCTTCTCTAACGTTTTAACCTGTCCATTGAATCAATAAGAGGTTATTTGCTCACGACAATTTTCTATTTGTTTTTTAGTAAATTACATTTGGGCTATTGCCATTTGGGCCGCATCAAACCTATCACTGCAGGTACCCATGCATTGTTTTAGGAACGATTGGGTACCCGTAGTGATGGGTTTGCATTGTTTTACATTTTGGCACTTCCAAACATTGTATTGTGCACAGTACATGTATTCCACAAACACAATTCTAACAATCACAGCTTCCAAACGACCTCTAAATTACATTTGGGCTATTGCCATTTGGGCCGCATCAAACCCATCACTGCGGGTACCCAATCGTTCCTAACCTAGCTAATGCGGGGATACTCGCTCCATGTCTAGTAAGTCCGGAGAATCCAGTATTTACTGAATATGGATAAAACACGCAAAACCTTTTGATGAGGATGAGGCGGAAATGGTTTTAGACTCCCCGCCCCATACATATAGCTGTCTCACCAATAGTATAGTTTTGAATATAAAAATATATGGATCATATTTTAATTTCTCAATGACAGGATTGGTAATTCAAAAAATAATGAGGTGAAATGTAATTGAGTGACCACTCAAACTAAACACTAATTAGTAATTTCTTTTCATCCATTAACCATTCACTCTTTCGCTTTTTCCCCTTTTGTTAACAAGATTATGTTAGTTATTTATTGCTTAGTAGATGTGTCCTAGTTGGATATGAATGATTTGCACAATATTTACTTTTTATGGATCAATATATATTTTTTGAAATTTGATACTTTGAATTCTTATTAAGAATTGTAGTTTTGTTGATTTCATAACTTATTAGATCCGTTTAGTGTTATAACTGAAGATCTATATGTTAAATTCTAGATATAATATTATTGGATATACATGACGAATATTACCCACAGGTACTCTAAACCCGCATATGTCGAGATACGATTGCAAATTCTCCATCACATGGATATGTGACGGGTATGAATTTGGATATTTTAAAGACGGAGATGAGCGGAAAAATCCTCCCAAAGCCAAGACTTTTTAGTATTGTAACCACTTCTCGATGATGATAGTTAACTACATACTGTTATGTCGCCTGCGCTCCATTTGATATAACCACTTCCATTCTACCTATGAAATACTAGTGGCTGGCAGCTTCTCAGTGCAGTGCCTAGTGGGAATACCTCCGACATGTCTTAATCAACTATAGCTCAATCCCAGATTAGGGAGATCTAAGCAAACAAAGATAAGTGGGGGAAAGTCTCAACTCTCAGTTGATTAACTTATTACACAAACACAACAGAAGAAAGATCCACCAGAAAGCAGCTAACAATAATCAGGTTCAACAATGAATCCGGCCAACAAATTCCCTAGTACAGTTCATAACACAAAACAATCAGTAGACCTCCACATGCCATTGCTTGTTCTTTTTCAGCTGCGACAGCTTTGCCTCCCAGCTTTCTCCTCTTTCCTCTGCTACCCTCTTCAGGGTGTCTTGGATTCCAGGCATCATCCCTTTCAGCCCACAGAAATAGATGTGGGCGCCATTGTCCAGCAGCTTGAATATTTCATCACTGTATTCCTCGATCTTGTCCTGAACATACATCTTCCCTCCGTTCTTGTTCTTCTGCTCCCTGCTGAGGGCCTTGTCGTACCGGAAGTGATCAGGGTACTCCTGGAGGTACTTGGTGAATTCCTCGTCGTACAGCAGGCTGTCGGTGTTGGCAACCCCAAGGAAAAGCCATGCAAGGCCTTCAAACTTCTTCGGGACAGACTCCATGAACATCCTCCGGAGGTAGCCCCTGTATGGAGCCACTCCAGTGCCTGTAGCAATCATAATGTGGGTGGCTTTTGGGTCATCCTCGGGCAAAAGCATTATCTTCCCAGCAGGTCCTGACAGCAGTAGTTTCAAAGTCGATCAGTTGCAGATAGAGGGTGATTTTAGACAATAAAACAGCAAAACATGATGCTGGTTGACACAATCAAATAGAGAATCAGCATGAGAAAAAGAAGCTCACATGAGCAACGACTCTAGACACCCCCTCAAACAAAAGGCAACCTCATGGGCTTCAAATGTGCACAGGTTACCTTGTGGTTAAATCAGCTATTTTCCGGAAGAGTGGGAAGTTTGAATATTATTGGAATATGAGATGTCTATAAATCACAACATTCTCATACAAACTCCAGTATAAGCATCACTTAGATTAGAATCTACCTAGCAAAAGAACAAAAAGGTCACTCAAATAGGAATGTACCAATCACATTCTGTGTCCACATCTATGAGGGGCATCTAAGGGACCACTTGCTTTTGTTCATAGGTAATCAGTCAGTATCAAGAAAAAAGCTGGCCTAGATATGTTAATTAGTATGGTTAGTCATTTAGGAAAGAAGAAATGAACGAGGTAATACCTGTTATTCGTATTTTATCCCCAGGCTTCGAGTCGCAAAGAAAGTTGCTGCAAACACCAGCTTTTGAAGGATCCTCCTTCCCAGTCTCAGGATCATAATATACAGCACGACGAACACATAAGCTGCCCGTCTTTCCATCAAAATTGTCTCCATACCTAGTTGATGCAATTGAATATAGTCGAACATTGTGGGGAGCACCAGGTTTCTTAGGATTTTCACCCTGAAAGACAGCCAAGAAGCAATTGATGAGAAACCATGGTTATAGGCAGCAACTTTTCAGTATCCACCATTGATTTACATTTTATCTCTTACTCTTCGGGCACACTTGAGTAAAAAAAATGACCGATGCAAGAAACAAATAGGAAAGAACTCAGTGCGACAGCAACTAGAAATGGTTAGAGCATAACAAGTAGATTAAGATAAATGATATATGACTTACAGGTGGTATTACACCATAACTTTGTCCCTCCCAGTATGGAACATTGCCACCATGATCAATGACAATATGGCAGGTCTCTCCGGGAGCTTTGGGGCCGACAATCCTCTCAACCGACACAATGGTGGCCGTGTAAGGCTCCTTAGGCTTGTACAGATTCAGAGGGGGATCTTTAGCATCCTCGAGTTCCACAGGTGCAACCTCCACTTTAGATTTGTTAGCCTGTTGCACTGACATACACACAACGTTTTGACTTTGCAATCGACCATTTTTGTTCGATTTCAAATCCAGTGACAGAGCGGGAGCCCATGACCTGTCACTGAAGCTGATGCTGCTTGTCTGCAACCAGAACCAAATGAAGCGGCATAAGAACTTAGTGCGTATGACCAAGAAGACAAAACTCGAGCACAAATTTGAAAAAGGATCCAACTTCTTCAGAAAAGGACGGCTGATGTTCTCATAACAAAATGAAAGCAACAGAAATGGATCATAAACAGCCAATTAACACGACAACGACGATTATTTCCCTAAAAACTGCACACGAAACTTAAAAGGATTCTCCCCTGATGATAAAACCCATAAACAATAGAACCCAAAAATTAAAGTCATCACCTTGAGCACCGATTTCCTGAGCGTAGAATCGCTCCCAACTGGAACAGCAAAGGCAATCTGCAGCAACCACCATCAATTAATTCGTTGACAACCCAGCCGAAACGATAGTCAGCCAAATAAGAAAACACGAAAAATCAAACAGATTGGGAGGAGTTGAACGGGGCAAACGTTACTTACCTGAGAAGCCGCCGCACAGTGAGCCATGACGCCGGCGATCGAATTCTTCCGAGGGAAAGCGAGCTTAGAGGAGAAATGGGTTCCCTGTCCCGGATCCTTCCTTTTTTTTATATATACTGCTTGAAGATCGATTGGATCACGAAGTTGGATGAAGGTGGAAGAGCAAGGGCTGATGATCCTTTGGGGAGGGGCAAAGGTCGGGAGAGTGGATTTTTCGTCACTCCTTCCCTGGCTCCTCAGTCCGCTTTACTGGCAGCTGCCGTCTCGATGTCTCGGCTTAATTGGCCTCTTGGCGATTTGATTAATGTGTTAATTGTGATTTACCGTTGTCTCCTTCCTCTCAACTCGCCTACCTTTGGATTTTTTTGACCACCAGCCAACAACCCCCGCAGCCGCATGATCCCTCTATTCCGCAAGTGACTGTGCGTATGTTAGATGGGGTATAACTCTTTGACTCGCTCTAAACGGGCGTGGAAATTTTGTAGGATGAAATGTTTTTGTTAAAGCTGCATTCTTCAATTTGATCCGAACAATTGTCGACTGTGGAATTGGAGATGTTGGGAAAATGTGAACTCGTTGGTGATAGTTAACAACTAAAATTTTGATAAATTTCTGCAAAAGTTAGGGATTTCGTATGGTAATTTGAGGTAAAGTAACTTGAATTTTTTCACCTATTATAGCAGGTTTCATAGGTCGCGTTACGTAAAATACAATGGGTTAATACCTTATTTTGGTCCGAACTATGATCATATAATCAACTTTGATCCGTGGTTTCAGAAATTAACATCCTGGCCTCAACTATGCAGCATATAGACGCAATTGGCCCGACACATAGTTTGACCGTCAATTTGGACGGTCAACTCCGTTGACCGTTAGTCAACACGCCATGTCATTGCCTAGTCAGCAAAAAAATCATTAAAAAATACAAATTCAAATTATTTTTCTAATTTTTCTTATTTATTATCAAATTAACCAAAAATAAATTATAAAAAACATAAAATAAATATGATTTTTTATTTTTGGATAATTTAAAAAATGATAAATTTTAAAAATTATCAAATTATTTTATATTTTTAAAACTTCCCACAAAAATATAATTTGTATCATAATTTTTAAATTTATAAAATTTAATTTGATAGTTTTTGGTTAATTTATAAAATTTATCATTTTCAAATATCTCAAAAAAATTAGTTTTTGGCAAGTCAAGTAGAGGAGATAGAAGTCCAGAAGACGACTCTGGTTGTGCCTGAGTCTATTTCCCCTCATCAAATGAGGGAGTTCGGGTCAGTTTTGCAGAGGTGGTGAAGGGATCAGTTTTCCTTGGTTAATTTGATAATAAATAAGAAAAATTATTTGAATTTGCATTTTTTAATGATTTTTTTGCTGACTAGGCAATGACATGGCGTGTTGACCGTCCAAATTGACGGTCAAATTATGTGCCGGGTAAATTGAGTCTATATGCTGCATAGTTGAGACCAGGATGTTAATTTCTGAAACCACATGCCAAAATTGATTATATGGTCATAATTCGAGCCAAAATAAGGTATTAACCCTTTTTTTTATGTTAATAAAATTAAAATGTCTAACATTTACGTAGTTGTTGAGAGTGTCACAAAGGGCTTGCTGTAGTTGTTGGCTTTGGGATGACTCAATAGGGAATCTCTCCCAACTCTACCAACGGAATCTCCTTTCCTCCTCCATTTCATCATTGCTACCAAGGAAAAGAAAACGATCTCCTTTCCTCCTCCTCCCTATTGGTCAAGAGTCCCTCAACAGTCAACGCTGACCAAACTAAAACTAGTGAGTCGGGTCGGGTTACTTCGTCTTCTTTAATCCGGGTCCATCTAGACGGCGCGGGATACCAAAATTATATTTGCCTTTGTTATCTGTGATCGATGAAAATGCAACCACAAGAGACAAATATTTTCTATTTACAGTAAAGCTATATTTGCTGATGTCTTTTTTTTTCTTCTTCCAATGATCACTCTTTAGAAGAGGAAATCGAACCGATCTAAGAATACAAAGACCCTATCTACTATTGTACCAAGCTACATAATCAAACCCCCCTTTGTAAACAGAGCGATAAATATAGAGCACGACGAGCCACAAAATGAACCACTCTGTTCAAGTTACGACCAATGAACATGACCTTCAAATCGCCAAGATCAGCAAGAAATGTGAGAATCTCCTGAAGAACACTTATCAACTAGCTTTCACTCAGCCCTTGGCCGAATGAGTTTCGCTTTATCATTAGTATTGGTTAATTTATAATTATATTTAAAATATTAACTCGATTCGTTGGTTGTATGAATTTTATTTATTTTATTTTGATAAATCTCTTCATGTTTTTAAATAAGTTGAGGTTTCTAAAATAGTTCATTCATTATTTCTGTTTTCCGGCGAGGAAAAGCTTGTGTTTGAACTCAATAAATGCATCTTTGACTTCTCGAACAACGATTAATAACACGGTTCACGCCTCTCCGAACAATGTTCGAACGAGGGTGTTTGATGATTTTGATGGCTGATAAAACTAAGTTAAATTACTTATACTCCTATGGAGGTTCAGTGAGAGCTCCAAGAACTAAAAGCAGCAACTGTGGCTACATTGCAGAGAAAAGATAAGTTTGACATGTGGTGTCAAATGGTTGGTTGTGGAACCCTTTTACAATTTTAGTTTCTCCTATTTATAGACATCGAGTGTAACTGCCTTGGTAACCTCTAGCTGGCTTGCTGCTCCAAACTGCCTCGGGGTCCTTGTCGCCGCCTTGGTGACTAGTTGGTAACTGTCACCTTGGGGGCCCTTGTCTCGTCTTGGGCTGGTGGGTACTTGATGGCCTCGATGTCGGGTCGTGTTGTTGTTGATCCTTGTCGCCTTGTCATGACTGGATGGGGTTGAGGCTCTTGCCTTAGCCTCCATGAACCATGATGAACTCTTGATCTCACCCTCGACTACTTGATGACTCCCCGCTCCTGAGTCCGCTACCACCTCATGACACCAAGTCCTTCTCATTAACTTGTTGGTTGTTACCAAGGCGTCTCATCGACTTGATACCTTCTAGCATGCCACCAAGCCCATGTAATCAACTTGACACCCCTTGCTACCAAGCCAGCCCTGGTGGCTTGGTATCCATACTTAGTTTTTGTAGCCTCATCAATTTGGTAAATTACACCCTGCCGGCTTGGTACCCCGTTAGGGTGCTACCAAGCTCGCCTTGGGACTTTGTCTCCATATGGCCCCATAAGGGCCATACATGGCTGTTTGGTACCTAGTCGGGTGGCCACCTGTTGCCTGTCCACCAAGTCAGTCTTACCGGCTTGATACCCCCTTGGGGTCATGATACCAAGGGGTATGATACCCTGTCGCCTTGCTTGGCTGCCAAGCCTGTCTTGCCGACCCCGTTGGCTTCATACTTAGCCAAATTCATGCTTTTCATGTCTTGGTACCAAGCCCTGCCTTGCCTGCTTGGTACCCTCTTGCAATGGCCATGTCTGGTTATCATGCTTGACACCCTAGTGCAAGGACCCCCTGGGATGAGGTCATGCATGACCCCCCATGGACGGTTGAATCTCCATACTTAGCCAATTTTCACCTCGGCATCATGCTTGACACCCTAGTGCTTGACCCCCTTTGACGGTGTCATGCATGACCCCCCTTGGACGGTGTCATGCTTGACCCCCCTTGCACGGTGTCATGCTTGACTCCCTTGACGAGACCCCCTTGGACGAGACCCCTTGGACGAGGTCATGCATGACCCCCCTTGGACGGTTGGATCTCCATACTTAGCCAATTTTCACCTCAGCATCATGCTTGACACCCTAGTACTCGACCCCCTTTGACGGTGTCATGCATGACCCCCCCTTGTGCTTGATCCCCCTGGGATGATGTCATGTCCGACCCCCCTTGTGCTATGGGTCTCAACACTTAGCCAAATTTTGGCTCTCTTTGCTACCACAACTAGCTCGCGTCTCGTCATACTTCACTCGCCTTGGATGGTATCATGCTTGACCCCCCTGGGATGATGTCATGCATGACCCCTCTTGTGCTTGACCCCCTTGGATGGTGTCATGCATGCCCCCCTTGCGTGATGTCATGCTTGACCCCCCTTGTGCTGTGGGTCTCCACGACTTGGGTGGTTGGTGTTGAAGGGTGTCAACGCTCGGCACTTGACCCACTTTGCGTGATGGGTGGGTGTTTGGTGGGTCAAGTGGTGTGTGTTGAGGTACCTGGTATGAAGCCCAAAATACCATTATTTAGGCCCAACCTAAACCAATTTAATTAACATGGTTAAGTTGGCCTTATAAATCACTACCACTCCTTGAAAATAATCAATGTGATATTGAGTGATTTTTTAGTGGTAAACAATTTCATAGTAATCTTTATGGTATTTACTGATTATGACATTACCGATAATGAGTTAATACGTACTTTTTATCAAGTTCTCCTAATATACTATTGTGTATTTTGTTCGTATCTTGGAAGAAATTTGTGGACTTTTTATTATCGGATATGAAGTTGGAGTTGAAACGAAATATATGTCATTTAGAATGGTATGAATTGAAGGTATATAAGAAAATCAAGAGAATAACGAAAAGATTATGCCTAGAAATCTCAAATATGGAAGAACACGAAAACATAATGTTTATTGTATAAATTATTAGAATTTAGTGTATAGGCTTGATTGAATAATAAGTCGAGGATGTTAAGTGTTAGATACTAATGCACGTACAAAAGTTACGAAAATTCAACATTATAAAACCTTTAATTCTACTCTATCAATATAATCTTTGACTTTTCATGTGGAGTTAATAGCATAAATTGTCACTATATTATCCATTTTTCTCAAATCTATCCCTTTTATTTTTCACATCAAACATGCCCTTGTAAAATATAGTATATACGTATTATCAAATTAAATTTAATCCCTTATATGGCTTATCTTCTCCAACTGCAACTCCCAATAATTAATAACCACAATCTCATCCCCCATCTGTCTCGCTTTCTCTTTCTTCGACTAACAATAATTAAACGCAAAAACTTGTCTGTCACGAAAGAACTTTAAAGACGAGGAATTTTACTATGCTATATAGTATTGATGCTATAGGTTTTTGCCTTTATGGTATAACTTGAAGTTATATTTTTAACGTTATGGTACAACTTTAGATTGTACCTATACTCTTTTGTACAAATTCTTTCATGGTACAACTTGAACTTGTACATTTATGTGATGGTACAACTTTAAGTTGTAAAGTTGTATCATAACATTAGGGTACAAATTCCTTTATGGTACAAATAAACTTATACATTTAACGTTATGGTACAACTTCAAGTTGTACATTAAAGCACGCATACTTTAGAGCATAGTAGAAGTGCTTCCTTAAAGACCGACTTTTGAATTTCAACCACTCTCTGAAAAGTTCACAATTATTGATCGATTTGACTCAATCATAAAAATTGGAAGCCAAAATTTTTAGAGTATATGGATTTCAAGTATCAAAGGTTGTCAACCTGGTTTAGCCCGTTGGCCCAATCGATTAAGTGGGTTGAGGGTTAATGGTTTAATTGTTTTAGTCCACTTTTGCCTGGATATATGAAAAAATTATTATATTGTTCATATATTTATAAATTATATAAAATCTCATCTACATATGAATAATATTCTTCCTCTACCGGAATATCTACATTTGTTTATCTATCTTCTATTTTCTGCTATCCTCCTTCGAGCCCCTAAAATGCACTCCAACAACATGTATTTGTCACGCGATGAAGGTCGCACTCATATGGTGGCGATGTGTGTCAGAAGTGGAATTAATGAGTAACGACCAAGTGGAAATTGAGCATGGGGGTGTTTGTGAAGGAAGACAATATGTGATGGAATGCGAGTTCTTCCAGTAGTCTCTTTGTTAACAGAATTATTTTGACGGATTTATCTTACCAATTTGCGGAGCGGGAGCTAGAGCAAGAGCTAGAATGAGAGCGTAAGAGTGTATACTCTTCAAAATTTATAATTTGAGTGCCCCGAAAGAGCATGAATATTTTATTATTTTAATTCATATATCATTTAACTTACTAACATGTTTTGGTCAAAATATTACATCAATGCAGTGGGGAAAAAATAATATCATTTTAGTACAATAATAGCTTTAAATAACCTTATTAGACCCGAAAAAGAACAAACTCCAAAAAAAGAATAGAAACCGAAAAACGTTTATGATGCTATTTTGTTTTTTTTTTAAGGAAAAGATACATGAATGCATCGTTTATCCACCCCCATGCACTCAATTAGTTGTTAATAAAAGAGTCTATATCTTTTTCTTCCTCTTCGATTCTTTGTTTCCTAAGCCGACTCTGGAGATCTCCTGCAAATGTAACAAATTGGCAAATTCTATATCATCGACTATCTAACTAACCTCTTATCATTTTATTCATCCCCAAGCTCGTGATTTATTGATCTATTTCACAGTACTCATTCACAAACTCGTAGTGTATCCTTTTCGTCTTTGCTCTCCAGATCTCTGACGGTACCGAATGTATTTCTTTCTCCCACGAAGAAGCAGGTCATCGTCTTCGAGCCAAAGTTGTTGATTTGGCTATAACTTGTTTCATTTTACTTTGTTTATAGAGAGAAAAATCTCTCAAATAAGTGATATATGAAATAAAATTTGCGAACACTGATTTTCGATGCTCTAATTTTTAGTTTGAGCAACAGTTTCTGGATTTTGGAAGTTTGTAGTTTCTATAAAATAATTATGGAGCAAAAATATAATTCCTACTTTCGTTTTCGTTGTAGGAAATTTGAAATAAGGCAACAATTTTCTCATTTTAGTATTATATATTGTGTAGAGTGTGTATAAAGACATGTCTTTGCCCTACAAATTCATTAGCACCTCGAAAAAATGTGAAATGAACCAACTTATTAAACTCCTAATGATTGTTGGATCCAATCATGTCATAATAGGAAAAGGTTAAAAATTTGACGGTTAGCCGAACTAAAATGTTTAAAGAACCAGTCTCATATAGTTTACACAAAGATATGAATACGATTGTGTAATAGTAGGTCAAAAATTAATACTAATTTAAGAATTATACATCACTTTGACATATTCAACACTGCAATTTGATATGGAATATTCGAACCAATGATATTTGGGCCGCGGTTTTAAAGTTATCCTCTTTTATAAGATATATAGGAATTTAATTAAGTATTAAATAATAATTAATATAAGGAATTTGTCCTTTGTTACTTGTTAGTCGCCTAACGTTTCAACTCAAATGCATGTTTCTTAATAATTACTGCTTCGTATTTGTATGAGATGAGGTCGACTGCTCTATGGCTGTGCAGCTGGAGAAAAATGAAATTTTCTATTGCGGGATTATGATAAATTTTGAGATGGTTGGGTCGTGTATTGTAGGCTCTCAAATCTAAAGTAAGAAGAAGAGACGATGGGATAGTCGAACATGGTCTGTGATGTTTCATGTTGTAGGGTTATGTGATAAGTAAAAGGATGATATGATAGTGTAGCTACATATACGAATTGTTGAAAACAACATCATTTTGAAGTGGCTGGTGCTCGAATCAGTTGGTTAAATCTGTTGGATTTCCCACTAAGATAGAAAAACTCGACTTTGACCCAACCTAAGTAGACAACCAACAGGGCCTTCGGTACCCGCTGAGATACTCAGGTTTAGATAGAATTGGTTCGACCAACAGAGTCATTCTCGAATTGAAAATCATGGTGATGACTTTTGTCTGTGTTTGAAGATAGATTAGTTCAAATCCCAATACTTGTCTATTTTCTATATAAAATAAAGATAAATAATGGCGAAGACAAAAATGTCATTCATACTTTTGCTCTCGTTGTAGGAAATTTGAAATGAGTCGACAATTTTATCGTGCCAATAATATATATTGTGTAGAGTGTATATGTAGACGCGTCATTGCTCTACAAATTCATTTTAGTACATAAAAAGATGAAATAAACCAATCTATTAAACTCAACCTCTTCTAATGATTGTTGGATACATCATGTTGTCGGATTAGGAAGATGTTTAAAACTTAACGGTTAACTAAGCTAAAAACGTTCAAAGAACCCGTCCCCATATAGTTTGCAGAAAGATATGAATATGATTGTCTCATAGTAGTTCTATAAACTAATACTAATGTAGGAGTTCAACATCGCTTCTACACATTTGATATTGCAATTCGATATGTAATATTGGACCAATGATATTTGGTCTATGATTTTAAAGTTATCATCTATTTATAAGATAAATAGAAATTAAAATTAAGTATTAAAGTATAATTAAAATAATTAAATATGAAAATCGAAGTATCAAAACACCAATAAGTACTGAGCGAAGATTTAGCGACCTTAGCTAACCGTTGAAAAATTTTGTGATTTTTTAATTTTAGCTTCATGTATATTTTTTATTTAAAATGATACAACTAATCTATGTAGTATGATTGGTTAAGATTCTTATCATAGTTGAAAAGGACCACGGTTCAAATCCTAGAATCCGTATTTTTTTAAGAATAAATGAGAAACAAATAGATCATTGTGAAGACAAAAATACCTTTCCTACTTTCACTCTTGGTGCAGAAAAAATATTCAACTATCTATATACTAGAACAGGGCCCGACCTGTTGGCCGGTAGAGTTCGATAGTCATATAATTTGTATGTGCTATTTATATTAATGATGTGTGTTTGTTAGGTATTTGGTCTTGAACTATGTAGACAAATATTCAAATTATTTCGAGTATGTTTAGAAGGTATTGAAAACATGAGAAAACTTAAAATTACTAACAAAGAAATGCAACTAACAGTAACATATATGTTTACAAACAAAGTGTTTCTATATAAATCGTCCATAAATAACATGTGAGTTGTTTCCAATGATACATACATAATCAATCTTCACCATAAAAGAATGTAATTTTACTTTGATGGAGTTTAATGCACCATGATTTTTTTTAATCTTCTTTGTTGATCATGACACTAATTATATATTGACATATAATATAAGAATGTTGACATATATTTTTGAATTGGATAATGTCTATTTTATATCCAAACCTTTTTCATATTCTTTTATATTATCCAAACCTATCGAAATACTAAGAATTAGCCAAATGTTAACTTTCGGTTAGCCATTTTATTAGTAATATTGACTTGCCAACATGATACTGACTTGGAAGAGACACATGAAGTTCAACATTCCAAAATTTTAGTATTTTAACTAAGAACAGAGTTACAAAATTATTCATGATAACGTAAAAATGGCTAATATTTTGATGCATTATGAAAGATTTGGCTAATTAATAGAATTTAATAGGTTTGGATAATATAAAATAATCTGAAAAAAGTTTGGATAAAAAATAGAGATTAGTCTTCTGAATTTGTTACCATTTTTAATGAGAATGAGAATGAGTTATATTAACTTAGCTCTTTATTTGACAAATGTGTCCAAATTATTGTCATAGAATTATTCTTTAACCTTTGCATTCATTGCTCTAATGTAAGTTTAGCGTGCATATTTGAGATGGTAGTGGATAAATGGCTAATTTTATTATGGTTAACTACATATATTGAACGAGGAATTTTACAATGCTATATAGCATTGGTGCTATAGGTGTTTACC